AGTTTTCTAAGTTCAGCTGCAGGCTACTTTAAATTGATTTGCAGTTTTGTGGGTTGTTTTTACACTTAATCATACACGTAGCCACTCAGTTATAGATATGCACTATAAAGCTGTTAAAGCTGCAATCTGGAAACAAATGGAAAATACTCTGCAGGATGAATGAACAGAAAAGTTCTGTTTTGGTTCTAAAGAGTCTATCCAAACAGCTCTGTGCTGACCAACCGAACACACCACATATACAACACTATCTTTCTATCATTCTGTTATTTCTTTTTTTTTTCAAAAACAAAGCAAAATGTTACAAAAGGTGCAGCACCTGTACAGTTCTGGAGTGTAAACACGCTGACTCACCTTTTCGCGTGCGTATTTTCCTCATGCACGAGCTCTGCAATATCCACGTGCAACAGAAAGCCAGCACAGTGGTGTCTAGTACACATTTGCCCACCTGTAGCCCCTCGGACACTCAGAACATGCCCCAACATAACCCTCCTGTCTGGGTTGAAATATGCTTGCAGCATCGCTCCAGCAGGGGGCGCCAAAGCACTACAGTCTATAACAGTGTGGACAGGACCATTCCTTGTGAAATTTGTCACAGTATGAAGGGCAGCTGGTAGTTTAGTTCCGATAGCAGCACATGTAACAAGTCTTTTAAAAGATATGGAATTAGCATATAAGAATTTGAGTAAGTCAATTAAGAACAAAATATATAATACAATACAATATAATATTATATAATCCAGCTGAAAAAACAGGTTAATGCTGGGCTGGTGCTGGATTGGCTGGTCACCCAGTGGTCATGCGAGGAAAACAATTATATAAGTTTTCTTAGAAAATCAATAATATTAGACCACACATCAATAGTTTTGCCTGCAGCTCCACTCAGGTCAATTATTAAAGACAGAGGATCCAGCAGTGAAGAAATAGAACACAGATCGGCTCTCAGAGGAACGAGGATGAAGGTCTTCAAATGTCTACAGACAAAGCTCAGAGCTGTCCAGGCTGTGGCCTCTCTGTGGTTCTTTATGGATGTGAAAACTGGACAATAAACAAACAAGACAGAAAAATATTGATGCCTTGGAATTTTGATGTTGGCAAAGACTTTTGAGAGAACCAAAGACAAATGGATCCATGACTAAATCAAGCCTGACTTCTCTTATTTTGGACACTGAGAAGAACCAGTTCACTGGAACAGACCGTTTTGTTTGGAACAGCTCAAGGTCAAACAGGATGACCAGCTACAAGATGAATCAGAGGAGCCATTCAGAAGCATGAAGACCCAAACAGGAGACAGGACATTCTGGAGAACCGCAATCTATATGGTCACCAGGAGTCAGAAATGACTTGACGGCACTTAATAATAATATTACTAAAAGAAATAAAGCTAGTAAAATAAAGGGTAAAGTTTGTGATCAAGCATCACGTTAGCTTGACAAAGCCAACTAATAATGCTTGATTATTAACTAGAAAATTGTGTTTACTGAAGAAAATGCAGAGCAATTGCTGGCTTTCTAAGGAATTCTGGGGGTTGTTTCTAAGTGGTTGCCAGGGTGGTTGGCAATGGTTGCTATGGTATCTAAGGTGGTTGCTAGACAGTTTAAATGGTGCACCAAGTGGTTACTAAGGAGTTGCTAGGTGGTTGTTAGGTGGATGCTAGGTTGTTGTTACATGATTGACAAGTGATTGCTATGGTATTTTAGGAGGTTACTAGGGTGTTGTTAAGAGGTTGCTAAATCATCCAAGGTGGTTGCTAGCGCATTGATAGCTGATTGCTGTGGTGTTCCAGTTGGCCGCTAGGCTGTTGCTATGGTTTCAGTGTGCCAGGGTGATGTCACGTGGTTGCTACGATACTGGAGGTGATAGCTAGGGTGTTGGAAGGTGGTTGTTATGGCATCTCTTGTGGTTGCTATGGTGTTTCAGGTGGTTGCTATGGCAACCCAGGTGGTTTGCTAGTATGTATGTGAGTCTATATGTAATGTCTATGAGAGTCAGTGTGAGGTAGATATTATTTGGGTGTCTATGAGCTCTAGGATCCTGCAAAGTTTGATGGTTCTAGCTTTAAAGCTGTGGCAGGTGTAGCATGAAACTGTATAAATTTCAATGTAAAATAGTAATGATAAGAAAATGAAGAATGGTAAGTTGGATAATTAATAATGGTGTTCATCAAATAATAGAGGAAAAGTACATGGATACTACATCCAGTAGCTCAGAAGAGTGGACACTACTCAATCCCATCATTTAAGCAGTATGAAAGGCTGTGGTTTCTGATGGTCAGTCAGCTTTGATTAGTTACACTGTGATAAAATATAGTCAGATTAATGTAAAATTAAAAGATAATTAGCTGTACAGCTTTGCTTTTTTTATCTCAAATTGACTCAAACTTCTCCTATGTCACAATTCTAGTACTGCATTACAGTAAACAATAAGTTTGAACTGAGCTCAAGAATATAAACAGTGGAATGTTATTATCTTTTATAATGTATTTATTTATTTTTTTATTTATTTTTTTGTTCTGTTCCCCCCCTCCTCCTCCACCTCTTTTTGGTCATTGCTAATTCCCACCACCAGGTTAGGTCTCTCATGATCGTATGATGCACCCCCCCCCCTCCCCAGATGGTGGGGGAATGCGTCCTCCTCTCAGGCTACTGACCGTTAGGGGCCATGACCTCACTGGAATTCAAATTCATGATCTGACGGTCAACAGTTAACTTTTTGTCTTTGGGGGCTAATGTGCAGTGTCTAAGGTGGGCCTAGTGCCAAAAAGACTAAATTAAAATATAATGCAACTTATATAAAATAAAATATATATAACATTTTAAAATGAAAACTAGAAAAGTACATTTCCTGATGACAACGCAGAGTGATTGTGCAGCTTAAGCTTGCTAAGATATTGCTAGGTGTTTGCAATGGTATCCCAGATTGTTGCTATGGTGTTGTTAGATGGTTGCTATTGTATCCAAGGAGGTTGCTATGGTGTTGCTAGGTGGTTGCTATAGTATCCCAGATTATTGCTAGGATGTTGCTAGGAAGTTGCTATGGTATCCCAGATGGTTGCTAGGGGTTTCTAAGTTTCTAAGTTCTGGTGGTTACTAAGATATTCTACATGGTTCGTAGGGACTGCTATCATTGTAATATTATATATAATATAATTGTAACATCCATGTGATGTTTCCCCACATTAAATTAATTAAAAGAGACTTTACAAAGCTCCCCTCAGATCATCACAAAATTTTTGGTCAAGCTGTCACCATGGAAACGTTTACACAGATAGGTACATTGATAACCCATCTCTTTTTGGCCCTCAGCCCACCTCAGACACTGCACATTGCACCCCAAAGACAAAAAGGTAACTGTTGATTGTCAGATCATGAGTTTGAATCCCAGTGAGGTTTCGGCCCTCTACAGTCAGGAGTCTGAGATGAGCACACGCTCCTCTCACCCCAACCAGCTGAGGGGCATCATATGATCACAGGAGACCTAACCTCGGGTGGGAATTAGGAAAGACCAAATAGAGGGGCTGGGGAAAGGAGAACATATACAAATAGAGATAATATATTAGTATTACATTAGTATTATTAATTAGTGTATAAAAAACATCTGTCCACCTTATTTTGCCTTAGTTAAGGTCTACATGATCTATCACCTTAATCAGCCTTTGTGGCTGTCAGTACAGCCCAGTGAAGATGAAATTATGGCAAGAACAGCAACACTACCAGCATAAACAGCACAGAGACAAGACTGTGGCTTCATAATGACTCAGTGAAAAAGTCCAGGTAGATTTGAAATCCGAGACCATAAAATGCAGCCAGTTGACAAACTGTCAGTTGAACATCACGTTTTGCTCCATACAGACTCTCTTTAACTGCTTTACACATTAACCTATGTTCTCTTTATAAATGGATGCTGCCCTCACCAGTAGGCTAAGAAGGTAGCAGAAAGCTAACCAGCTAACAGGCTAGCGCTACAATAATGAAAGACAGACTTCAAGTTTAAGCTTTTAAATAAAGCATTGCTTACGAATTGAGACAAACAAAGTAAAGACTGTTGCTTACATGATTGTTACAAACTTAAAACGTTCTTATTTAAACTAGAACTGACATAAAACATCCCATATCGCGTCGAGCTAGCCCCGCTAGCTTAATGCTAACAGAGCTAGCTACCATTGTGAACATGTGAGGAGCATTATTGTAGCGCTGGCTTAAAAACAGATTTCTCTATTACACGTTGCTGTGAAAAGAGAATATTATATGGTTCTCTGTCTGTATCTGACTCTCAGTGTAAACACAATTCAACAGTTATGATGAAATGTCTTTATTAGCGTAATTAGCATAGTAATTAGCATAGCTGTAAACAGGATCCTCTGACTGAAGCGTTTCTCTCACGTTTTCAGTTCTCAGATCGATTAAGCTGCAATCAGCACACAAATATTCGAGAATCCCAACAATAAAGATTAATGACATTTTTATTTATTTTCACATGTCTATCATGTCAACTATTCAATGTATTGTCTGTTCATGCTTGACCATAAGTCACTCAAAGCATCGTGGGGCACTGGAATAAGGTGGATAACAATCATATATTTCTCTAGTGGTGTATAATACATCTATATATAATAAGCTATAATAATTTCTTTTCTGTATAATATTCCTCTAGTGCTGTCTTATAGTAGTATAATACTTGTGTCTTGTAAATTAGAGTAATTGTTTTTTTTAATAATAATAATAATTATTATTATTATTATTATTACAATTGTTATTGTTATTGTTTGTTGATATATTATTGACATTTTTGTTAGTCTCTTTTTTCGTTTTTTTCCCCAAGCTTATGTTTCACAATGCTAGAACGCTGAAGCCCCGCCCCCTCGCGCGTATGTATAAACTAATAGCCAACAGGAGGGGCGGGGCATAGAACTCGTGAGTGTGAACTACTAGCCAATCCCAGCGCAGCAGGGGCGGGGCCTGTGTGAATAGGGGTGCGAAAACAAGAACAGCGCACCAGAGTTGGGCAGTGATGCTTCTCCTGATCAGAGCAGCTGCTCTGTAGAGCTGGATGGAGAGTGAACTCAGTCACACAGCTTTAGCTTTAGAATCTCAGACAGCTTTAAGGTGTTCAGCACTTTTAACACCTCCTGGACATCTGAAAGGCCTGGCCGAGTAAGGAGGATGAAGAGAGACGTAGTGAAGCTGAAGAGGAGGAGCAGAGAGATCCTGCTGAGTGTTCTGGGAGTAGTGATAGTGATCTACTGCGCTGTCCACCTGGTCTTCTTCATCGCCAAACCTTCTCAGGATCTGAAGCCCTCACGGGTTCGACGGGAAGTGGGTATGAATACTTTTAAATGGACTTAAAGCGACTTTGAGGGTCTGGTCCACTGATAAACTTGTAAAGGCTCAGTGGTGGGCTGATTAAATATAATCAGTAATTATGATTATATTATAAGTATTCTTGGCTTATACTGGAAAGCATACAGAAAAGTTTAAGTATATTTGGTCTGTACTTGTACTCATATATGGTTGTGGCCTGTACTTGTAATTGTACTTCATGAAATATACTTTCATGAAGAAAAAGTAGACTGGTATTACGTAACTAGTAAACTAACACTATATATAGTTTACTTGTGGTACACTTCAAAATATATTTTAATAAACTAAAAAGTGCACTAGAAGTACACTCTAAAAAAAGATGGTTCCTCAAGGGTTGTTTCATCACGAAAATGGTTCCATAAAGAACCATGAACACTCAAAGAACCATCTGCATGATTAAAGGGTTCTTTGCATCATGAAAGAGTTCTTCAGATTAAAGTAGAATGTACTGTAAATGGTTCTATATAGAACCTTTTTGAAAAAGGCTCTCTATAGCACCAAATTGTGAGCAATGCCAAGCTTGTAACAATAAAAGAACCCTTTTTGGTGCCTTTTCGAAAAGGTTCTATATAGAATAAAATACAACACATTCTGAAACCAATCTGAAGAACCATTTCACCATGCAAAGAACCCTTTAATCATGGTTCTATATAGAACTGTTTTCCTTACTAAAGAACCCCTGAAAAAGATTTTTTAAGCATGGTTATAACTAGTATCCACTTATAGTGTAGTACACAGTACACTTGCAGTACTTAGACGCAGTTGTGTATTTTACTACTCTTACACCTAAAGTGTACTTAAAATGACACTTTTATAGACTAAAAATTTGGGCCAGTTTAGTCCCAAGAAGTATTGAAATAGTACACTTACAAGTTTACTATTAGGACATGGATATTAGTATACTTAATACATTAAGTATACTTGGGAAATATACTTGAACTTCACAGTTTACTAAGTTTATTTAATAAAATGAGCTATAGTGTATAGTGTCTTTTATAAGAGCAGGCCCGGGCAGAATGGATTTGAATGGTTCTATCAGTCTAACAGCCGCTAAACTCCAAACACAAACCGTTTATTCTGTGTTTGTCCGCAGAGAATGAGACTGAATGCGTCTCTCCGCAGAGCTCAGAGTTTCCCCAGGGCTTCTTCACACTACAGGAGAGGAGGGACGGGGGCATTATCATATACTTTATCATCGTTTTTTATATGTTTCTGGCAGTCTCTATCGTTTGTGATGATTATTTCTTGCCTTCTCTGGAGGTCATCAGTGACCGTAAGTTACTAATGTTGTTGTTGGTGATGTTTTCTGGTTGTTATTTTGTGTTTATGACTTGTTGATATTATTAGGCTTTTATCAGTAACACTACACACACTCAAAAAGGGTGTTTTTTTAAGGGTTCTTTATAAAAGCGATGGCTCTGTATTAAACTATAACTACATGCATGCTTACATTGTTCTTTGCATGGTGAAATGGTTCTTCAGACTGATAGAAAGCAGAACCTTTTTGTAAATGGTTCTATCTAGTGCCAAAAAGGGTTCTACTGTTGTTTTGAAGTCAAGCTTGTAATAATAGTAGAACCCTTTTTGGTGCTAGATAGAACCATTTTCAAAAAGGTTATGTTCTCCATCAGTCTGAAGAACCATTTTACCATGCAATAAACCATTTAAGCATGAAATGAACACTTGAATAACCATCTTAACGTGTGTGCTATTACTACTACAAGTAAATGCAATAATAACATTAGTAATAATGATTGCGCTGGCACTAGTGTAATTATTATTATTATTATTATATAAGTAGCCCGTGTGTCTTTGAAGTTGTGCGCGTGATGGATTTGTTTGTGTCATCAGGTCTCGGGCTCTCTCAGGACGTTGCCGGGGCAACCTTCATGGCGGCCGGAAGTTCGGCCCCTGAGCTGGTCACTGCTTTTCTAGGTAAAACAGTTCAACGTTGAAAAATTACCTCCCAAAAACCAACTTAGAGAGTTAAAAAAGTCAGAGGTCCAAAAGTACAGTGTACTCATAGTCCATCCAGCACCTATCAGCACAGTTTGTTCGGCTCTGTTCTTCGTTTTTTGGATCCTTTTGGTCTAAAATAAAACACAAAAGCCCCAGAGTGACCAACAGTAAAGCAGGACAGGAGCTATAAAATTAAACTCAGAAAACAGCATTAGGAGCAAAATCTTCTGTCCATACTCTACTTTCCTTTTGTCTGTATTTGTCCACGTTCTCTGAAAGCTTACGATTATGGACAAAATGGAGCAGTACACACCGGAAGCCGTGGGGGGGGGGCAGTGTAGCCAATAGTTCAATAGTTTCTCTTTGGTAATAAAAGTGTAAAGAATTCTCCGTCCACTCGTCACAAGGAATTTAAAGGCCTCACAGACACCACAGCCTATGGCGCTGTCTCTTTCATCTGTTTTGTAGTTGGTACATTATTACGACCTCCTCCATGTTTGTTGTCAGAAACTTTTCACTCAGGACTGCCCTCTAGTGGATGTACTGCTTAACATCCATACCAATGTAAAGGACACATGGAATTATATGGGCAGTGACGGTTACATTGTTTAAAACAGACAAGTTCTTTTCATACATAAATGGAGTACAAGTGAGCCTTTACTCTGTTTAAGTAACTCTATCATGGTGGCCAATTTTCACCTCAGAGCGAAGAAAGCTAATTGCTAAGACTTTCACACTGAGACACTCATTGTGAAATGGAAATAGTGTTGTGTCTTTATGCAGTTTTGTTCGTGCAGAATTACAGCATTTTTAGTGCTACTTAAATATTGTTTTCAGATGTGAATTTTTTTTTGTAGTAATAAAATTTAAATGCCCTACTAAGACGTGAGCTTACGATTTTTTAATTTCCTCACAGCGATTGGCAAAGACAGAGAAAGAAACTTATAGGAAAGTCTGTTCACTCTGCGGTCATCTTTGCAATTTCAGCAGGCAATTACTTCAGAGACGTTATAAAGGAGGAGGAGACTCTCACTGGTTGAAATATGAGTGGGAAAGCTTGTAACACTCAACATGGCATCTTTTTTGCTGAGAAAGTTCCCCCTTCAATAAAAAGAGCCAATGAGCTTGCTGGTTACACCATGACACACAGTAGCCAGGACAACCCAAATTATCATTTTGTCCGAACGCTACAAACTACTTCTGAGGTTTTTGTCAGATTTCATCAGTGTTTTCAAATTTGTTTTGGAAACAGTAATTTGACCTCCAGTTCTGAGAATTTGGTCTTTCCCTATTCAGAAAGAGAGGAATCTGGTCTTGTATGGCTGGGAATAACTGCCCAGAGGTGTTGCCAAGATGGCCACCAACTGAACAGACTTTCCTGTAAGGACTTATAAAGTTTTTGGGTTGCTACTGCACTTATGTAGATCTCCACAGTGAGGGGGGCTTTCCCCACTTGGAGCTTCACCAGCAAGCTGATTGGCTTTTTTTCTTGAAGGGTGGGACTTTCTCCGTAAACAGATGCCATGTTGAGTGTTACGAGCTTTCCCATTCATATTTCAAACAATGACTGTCTCCTTATTTATAACGTTGCTGGCTATACTCATCAATGTTGAATAGAAGTAAATGTATCATCATTTGAAATACTAAGGAAAGTAATCATAAATGTATTAAATGGGATGTAAGGTGTTTTTATCCACTTCTAAACATCATTAAAGAAATAAATTGTTTAGATAATGCTAATGACACTAGAAACAAACCCACTGATTACCATTATGCAGAAGACATGCCATTTCTGGCTATCCTACAAGATTTTAGTTTTGTATGAAGCATCTGAAAGGATTTAAGTGACCCTGTTTCCCCAAATATAGTCAATCAGACTATGTGAGGCTAATGTAGCTAACAAATAATGGAAGCTAATTAGCATTTGCCAATCAGCATGGTGCTAACTACATGTTTCAATCATGACACACTCACCTCAAAGCGTGTGGAGGTGTTCAGCATCTCTAATAAACTTGATTATGTAATTTCTGACACTACACGATTTACCGTTATCTATAAACATTGACAAAATTAGCATTAGCATAGCTAATGACAACTATAGCAGAAGTGCTACATTTTTTTAGCTATTAGATAGCACCAAATGAGCAGCGTGTCCTCTACAGGAGGTGTGCTTGGACAGGTAAAAGCTCACCTGTGCTTCCTCCTCAGGTGTGTTTGTGACGAAGGGAGATATCGGTGTGAGTACGATCGTGGGCTCGGCCGTGTACAACCTGCTGGGCATCTGCGCTGCCTGCGGAATATTAACCTCAGTGGTATGTAACTGTGGCTTTCTGAGAAAGATTATACATGAACTCACGAACACAAACGCCAAACAATTAGAACCGCTGTGTTACTGGATCAAAGAGACTCTTTCTGGAATGTATTTGAGTACAGTACAGTACTGTGCAGTCTTAGATCAGCCGAGAAAATATTTAAAACTATTCGTCTGAGCAGAAAGTGGGTTAGCGCCTGTGATAACAATTAATAACATTAGCATAAATACAGATGAATATTATACTATCATGTCAAAATCTTGTAGCTCCATTATGTTTGTAATTTTTAAACACACCAGCTGCTCTATTGCATGAATGTTTTATAATGAATGCAGCAGCAGAAATGGGAAATAATTATTTACATTAAATTCTCATCACATTGAATGATTTTTTCTTCTCCCATAAAGTTAGAGATTCTGAGATACAGCAGTGATCAATACAGTTAAAAGTAAGCAGAATTATTGATCTTTGTTTAGAGCTCTTACGTAACATTGACCTCACAGTTTCAAATGGTTTAAATGCTACAATACTGACATTGTGGACTGTGATGTACTTAATCCTAAACTAGGCATCACTAAAACTGAACTTAATGAAGTTCTGATTAAACTGGTATAAATGAATAAAAGATTGATTAAACTGATTTAACTTAATAAAGGATTGATTAAACCGTTTTATCTTAATGAAGGATTAATCAAATTGATTTAACTTAATGAAGGATTGATTACACTAATTGAACTTAACGAAGCGTTAATTAAACTTATTGAACTGATTGAACACAATGAAGGATTGATTACTCTGATTTAACTTAAAGAACCATTGATTCCTTAATTTAACCTGAATTGATTAAACTTACTGAGCTGAAGGATTGATTACTCTTATTTAACTTAACAAAAGATTGATTACTCTAATTAAAGAAACTTTAATTAGTCTTCAATTACTCTTATTTAATTTCAATGAAGATTGATTAAACTGACTGAACTTACTGAAGAATTGATTAAACAGATTGAACTTAATGAAGGGTTGATCAAACTGTTTGGTTGTAATGAATGACTGATTACTCTTATTTAACTTAAAGACACAGCTTAAGCATAAAGAAAGATTGATTACCCTAATTTAAATTAAAGTAGGATTGATTAAACTAATGGTTAATGAAGGTTAATGAAGGATCTTCTCTGCTGTGAACATGAAATATATTTTCATGTATATTGTCAGTATACAGTGAATCTTGTAATATATTTTCAATATTTGTCTCGTTTAAACAGGAACTTGAATGATTTTCTTGTGTTGTTCTGTGTTCAGGTGAGTCGTCTGACCTGTTGGCCGTTGTTCAGGGACTGCATGGCGTATGCAATTAGTGTAGCTGCTGTAATCGCCATCATCTCCGATAATCAGGTGTACTGGTGAGTGTGATACAGTTTAGGGTGCTTCATCTCACATTTAACACCATTTGAGTTGAGTGTGTGCTGATGTTTGCATGCAGTTAGCACCGTGCTAATCGGTGTGGCATAAGCCTCCATTACTTGTTAGCTACATGAGCCAATAGGATAGGATATCGGACAGGATATGAGATCTGTGTTGCCAAAGCTACAAGATATTACTCATATATCACATACAATGATATTCATGTATCATTTATTCACAGAAATGAAGAAAAGAAGTTTATAAGGATAAATAATTAAAAGAAAGCCATAAAGTTTGAAGTATTAATACTATAGTACATATAAGCATAAAAGGAATATGAACATGAATGAAACAAAAAAGTAAACAATAAGGTAAACATGAAAAATTAAGGTAAACATCTGAATATCAGGAATCAGAAATGCTGATTAGGTAACTGAAGATTTGTTCTGCTAAATCTATTGTTTCTACATTTTCCTCCAGTAATATCTTCATTTTTTCAGTATTGGTCATTTTGGGGAAGGTGGGGATTTTGTTAGTAAATCTTGGCAGAAAAGAGTCTCTGATGGTTTTGTATTTTGATTATGAAGGAACAAAATGTCTCTCTTGTCCGTCTCCTGTCCAGGTACTATAAGTAAGGTCTGTAATGTCCAGTAAGACTGCTGAGTCATGTTTTGGAGATGGTGTACAGTGTTGTTACTGTAGCTGTGCGTTCTGGAGTTCATGGTTGATCTTTACAGTTATGGTAAATTACTGAAGGGGGGCACTAACAGAGGGATGAATAGAGGCATGAACTACATTAACAACATTAGCTTCCTTTTAGACGCCTGGTAATAGTTGAAGTTATGCTGTTAGAAAAATAGATTACAGATTCAATGAAGCTCATTGTTTATCTGCTTCACCCAATCACAATGGTGTTCTTAACTTACTAGAGCTGCAGCACTGCTCTGCCTCCGGGTGGCGCTGTAGAGACTGGTTCGCCCAGTTGGCCTTTCATAGTCTAGAAACTATAACTCTGCCTGGATTCCTCTGAAAAACTTTACAATGTGCTGCTGCATATCTGTAAATCTGAAAACTCACCCAGTTTCCCAAGAGTTTGGTGTAAAGAGTGACTGGGCTACACTGGAGTAGCCAGACAATTAGCATTATGCTAACTGCAGGCCTAAATCATCACACAGTCATCTCAAAGTGTGTGGAGATGTTTAGTATCTCTAATAGTCTTGATTATGTGTTTTCTGACACTATATGACTCACTGTTATCTATATAAAATAATTTTTATTTTATAGTTAACAGGTCTTGCTAGCACTAGCCTCCAGAGGTGGGTAGAGCAGCCCAAACCCATACTCAAGTAAAAGTATTGATACGTGGATAAAATATTGACTGCAGTAAAAGTAAAAGTACCTCCCCAAAAAAACACAGTATTTCAGTACTGAGTAACACAACTGCAGTGGAACGTCTTAGAACATCCAGCATCTCTCAGCACAGGAACTTAAGACTATACAGTTCTGTTCTACTTGTTTTGGGATTATATTGGTCTAAAAGAATGAATTAGTAACTAAATTTGAACAGCTAAAATGCAACTGTAGTGTAAAGTGTAAAGTAGATTGTTTTACTCACTAACATACTTGAGTAGAAGTGATAGTATTATGATTTGAAAATGCTCAGCAGAGCACAAATCCATCAATATTTTAATATTGTACTAATAAGTACATGTACTTGAGTAAATGTAAGTAGTTAGTTACTACTCTCCTCTGCTAGCTTTCAAACCCTAAGCCCCAGTTAGCATAAAGCTAAAGGCTCTATGCTAAAGCTAAAGGCTCTATGAAATTCATTCACATTAACACCTAAATGAGGAAATTTGTGTGTGTGTGTGTGTGTGTGTGTGTGTGTGTGTGTCAGGTATGATGCGGCGTGTCTGCTGCTGGTGTACGGCGTGTACATCGTGGTGCTGTGTTTTGACCTGCGGATCAGTGAGTACATGATGCGGCGCTTCAGTCCGTGCTGTGTCTGTTTGAGTAAGAGTGTGGATGAGCGCCCTGAACAGCAGCCCCTGATTGGGTGGAATAATGACACCAGTCTGAGGGTCCCAAGCCGCTCTCGGACTGACAGCGGGATTTTCCAGGATGATTCGGGATATTCGCACCTGTCCCTCAGCCTGCACGGCCTCAACGAAATCCCAGAAGGTATGACAATATAAAGTCAGCAGTATGAATATCTGACCTCATAATGATCCGATTCAGTAATGACTCTTCATGATGATTCAGTAAATCAGGAAATCCGTCATGACCATCGAAATCAATTCAGTTAAATTACTGCCTCCTACATTAGCACTGTAGCTTATTACTTTGGATTAATCTGTCTGTCTGTCTGTCTATCTGTCTGCCTGTCTGTCTGAATGTCTATCTATCTATCTATCTATCTATCTATCTATCTGTCTGTCTGTGTATTTGTTTATCTGTCTATCTGTCTGTTCTAGAGCGGAAGAGTGTATTCAGTATGCCGGAGAATGACCTGAAGCGGATCCTGTGGGTTCTGTCTCTGCCTGTGATCGTGCTGCTATATCTGACCATTCCGGACTGCAGGAGGCGCTACTGGAGGAAATGCTACATGCTAACCTTCTTCATGTCGGCAGTGTGGATATCCGCCTTCACGTACATTCTCGTCTGGATGGTCACTGTAATCGGTGAGTCCTGCTTCTTTAAAGCAAACAGCCTTGATTGTGCTGTTTATGATTACGTGAAGCCACTGTGGGGTCCCACACGCATACATTCAATCATTCTATTTATTTTATTGCCTTATTCATGATCAAAATTAATGAAGAATTACTTCTTTTCCATTCTTTCATTTTTATGATTGTGGATAGGATGTAAGTTGCTGCCCAACCCAGCTTTAGTCCATCTTTATAGATAACAATTAGTCATACAGTGTCAGAAACCACATAATCAAGTCTATTAGAGATACTGAACACCCCCACACAGTTTAAGGCGACTATGTGATGATTTAAGCATCAGCCTGAGAATCCGTTAATAATCTGAATGTGAAATTAATTTTCCTGAGTCTGGTATAATTTTAAAGAATTTAAAAACACAAGCGCTCCAGCTGAAAACTCAATAACTCACTGCTGCTCGTCTCACTCTGACTGGACTCATGTGATGCTGGTTGTCATGGTAACATCTACTAACTAAGTGGTTCTCTACACATGCATATAATTTTGGATCTGATTATTGTACTGTGCACGTAAACAGAGATTTTCATTAGACTGTTGAGTAGAGTGAGATATAAACATCTCAGTCTGAATCTGTAATTTGAATGAATTCAATCAGATTAGAGAATTGCATGTAAATACAGACAGCAGTGCAAACTGTTAACGCTAACAAGTTTCCATTACTTGTTAGCTACATAAGCCCCGAAGCTCCAGTGCTAAAACAAAAGAAGCGAACTTCAGAGACCAAACACGTCTCTGCTGATCGACATTTAACGTAAATTGTGTTTAACTGATTTAGTGGCAATTTATCTATTAGCGACATTTCTTCAAACTTAGGAACAAATTCACAGTGCATCCAATGATAAAGGCAGCATGGAGCTTCTTTTATGCAGTGATAGGAAACACAGGGGCTCACAGAAAGCGTCAGTTCCACATGCTGATCCATTTTACTGACCAACAGGGACATACATGCTCACCAACTACTGCAGAGACCGATTTTAGTCAGTTAGTGGTGATAAAGACAAACTCTAGCACTGGGGGGGTGCATTTAGCATTTTTCCCCTGCTCAGTAAACAGTTATTTCAGAAACAGTGCTGTGGTTCTCATGGACTTCAGTTTGATGCCCTTAATTTGGTCATTGACCCCCTGCAGAGGGTTACATAACAAAACCAGAATTATGCGGCTAGCTTGAGTCCTAAGCTGCCTTGCTAGCCGCCAAATCCACTTTCAAACACTGCGGCTGACAAAGACAAGTCAAGACAAAGGACAGAATCCAAGAAATATTAGCCTGCCATCACCATTCAGCCAAATTATTACTATTGCTGCTGCTTCTTACTGCATTTCTTGCTGTTTTCAGATCTAAGCTGTTAGCCTGGGAGGTCGCCAGGCATTTAAAGACTTTAATCGTGCACATTAATCCAAAAGTTGATTTGTAGTTCCACAGCAGGCCTATTGTGTGCGTGAGTATACTATAAATTTTGTAACATTGGACATATAACAGACCATTAAGTGCAGTTAAAAGCTTATTAGATGATATCAGGAGGTGCTGGGAGGTTTCTGAGAAGCACACAGCTACATCACATGCTCTTTTACTCCATTCCTGAGATGCCAGCGCCGTATCCTGAGGGATTGGGGGAGTCTGGAGGCTGGGGATTATGGGCCGCCGGACCCGGGAGACCATGTGATTCACTCGGGAGGATAATAGGATTATTATCCGGGGAAAGAGCGTGCAAACTCACATGAGCGAGGGCCGTGTGGAACGGAGCAAAGCGTTGGGCAGGTAGCGAGGAGGAGCGAAGCCTCGGGGCAGTGAGCGTGAGGGTGAGCATGGCCTGCAGGCAGGATTCTCCACGAGTCTTCCATCGCTAAGGCCACATGGGGGTCTGCTGGCTCAGGCTGAAATCAAACAATGTTCTACACTCGCAGTTCTCATAATTTGCTTTTCAGTGTAAGCCCCCTTTTATGGATAGTAAGTGCTACAGAGTCACTTTCACAGTCTGGTCACAGCATTAATAAAGGCATAAAATCTCCTTTAGAACAATCAGAAGTGATTGAGAACATGATGTTCAAGGGAACCCTGACCGTTAAGACATATAGGCCTCAATATTGTTTACATGTCCAATACCATTCAAATGGCTATATTGTATAAACTAAGCAAAATACTTTATTTATTATTAAAAATAGACAAAATGCTTTTATTACACGCTTAGAAAAAATGGTTCTTTAAGGGGTTCTTTAGTAAAGAAAATGGTCCTGTATGGAACTATGTACACTCAAAGAACCCTTTGCATGATTAAAGTGTTCTTTGCATCATGAAAGGGTTCTTCAGATTGATGGAGAAAGGAATGCAAAGTAGAAGCATCTTCACCAGCGCTCTCAGACTTTTAGAGCCCACTGTGTACAGGTGCAAAGCCATGTAATGCTTTAAAATCAAAGACACCTTAAATTTGAACCGGGAGTCAGTGTAGAGATGCGTGATCTCTTGTCTTTGTAGACAGTCTGTGGCATTTTGAACTAGTTGTAAACAAGCCAAGAGACTTGACATTACAGAACTCATCAAATGAGCACGGTATGTCAGTTAATTGTGATTGCTTGGCATTTCATTTTAATAATGTTTAATAATATCTACCATTTTAATAGCAAGTACTATTTATTTTCAGATACGGCTGAGGGATATTTACCCCTTTAGGAGCTCTCAATTTGTTCATATTTTCTTAAACTTTCCTTTAAAGGCTCTTCATATAACATGATCCTCAGATGATTCATATCAAAATGCTCCGTTATCTTCATCACTACTTTCCAAAACTGCTGCAGCAACTTCAGCAGCTGTAAACTCTCTGCACAACATTTCACATGTGTCTCCGATGTGGACTTAATGAAGAACGAAGGGTTTCCGGTGTGATGGTCAGTCCTTAGTGATTTCCTGAGTGTCCATTGGTCAGTTTCACACAGAATGTGGACGGACACACAAATCCACCAGTTCCACACGGTGATAGGCAGATGACGTGTATCTCAGCCCCTCTTCATAGCCTCATAACTCTGGATGTGAGTCACGTTTGATCTCATGATAAGATGGAATGGAAAGGACGACTCTACAGATTCAGGAAATGTTTGAACTGGATTTCTGTGCTGCATCATCACAAAGATACACAAACACATGCAGAAACAGAGAATGTGGTGAGTGGGTGAGTTTGTGGACCCCAGAGAGTTAATAAACTTACAAAATCAGTAGAAATAGAGACACAACTTCTGAGATTTTTCTGCTGCCCCCAGTTTGAGAACCGCTGCTCTGTGCTAAGACCTGTTTGCTTCTTTATTTTTGCTGCGAGGCTAATGTGGGGGGGTGGGGTCTGGAACAGTTTCCAATTTGGAAGCCCCTCAGATTTCTTATTGTTACAAAATAATGTTCACTGATGTTAATAAAAGTATAATAAAATGTAAGGTCATCATGGGCAGAAAGCACTGAGCTCTTACATCCCTGTGATGTTTTCCCACGTTAATTAATTAAAAGAGACCTTACAAAGCTCCCCTCAGATCATCACAAACTTTTAGGTGGATGCTATCACCATGGAAACGTTTGCATGGCAAAAAAGGCAAAAATGTACACAACAATGAGTGGACTTTATTTAAAAAATCAACAAAAAAATCAATAAAAAAACTTAAGTTCCTTATTAGTTTTATGCTTCAATAACTTTACAATTGAGTTGGAGGTACTTTGTTTAGAAAAACCAGAATAGACCAGCTTGGCTGGTCACCACAAAAGCATATGTTGGGTTTTGGATGCTGGTATGCTGGTCAACCAGCATGACTATACTGGGTGACTAGCTAAACCAGCACCAGACCAGCATAAGCTTGTGGACTTGTTCATTATCTCTAATAGACTTGATTATGTGGTTTTTGACACTGTATGACTCCCTGTCATCTAAGACATGGACCAGAGTACTTTAGCTAATAGCAGTAGCAGAGAGGAGGCTGTTTCTTGCTTTAAGTGTTATAATCAGTCACTTAGGGCCTGCAAACCACCAGGGAGCGCCAGGAATGTACTTTTTAAAATTTGTTCAGTGGAAAAAGTGAAACGAGAGGTCCTGCTCGTCGCTGTCCAGAGAAAAACATATCTCTCCATTTTTTCAGTTTTTATTTTTCTACATTATTTGAGCTCAGCAGCTGTTCTTTACATTGTTTGACAATTTCTTGATGAATAGACCAATAAAAATGCTCTAAAATTGTTTGGAATAAAAGCTTGTTACATTCACTTATACTGAAAGTGAAGAGCGTTTTTGCCCTCCCCTGAAAAGTCACTGTTTTGGAGATACTTGTTTTCTTTGGGCAGCGACATTATTTTCCTTGCATTTTTCTGTGTGTGTGTGTGTGTCTGTGCGTTCAGGAGGGACGCTGAACATTCCCGACACTGTGATGGGTCTCACTCTGCTGGCGGCTGGAACCAGCATCCCTGACACCGTGGCCAGCGTGATGGTGGCACGAGAGGGTAAAGAAACACGTGAAAAAAAATATGAACAAATATGAAAAAATATTTCAAGGACGAAACACTGTGCACTCTTCCTCTGTGTTTATCTATTAGAATAAATACACTCTTAAAAAAGATGGTTCATCAGGGGTACTTTACTAGAAACAGTGGTTCTGGTTCTATATAAAACCATGAACACTCCAAGGACCATTTGCATGCTTAAATTATTCTTTGCATGGTGAAATCGAGTTGTTTATGCTTCTGTGTAGAACCAAAAAGGGTTGTGCTATTGTATACAAGCGTGACATCATAATAGCAATAGCAGAACCCTTTTTGGTGCAGTATAGATCCATATACAAGACATTCTCCATCAATCTAAAGAACTATTTCTTTCTTTGTTCATGGTTCTTTATAGACCCACTGTCTTTACTAAAGAACACTTGAAGAACCATCTTTTATAAGAGTGGAGTAAACATACATGATATAAACTAGATTTGCATTTCTTGAAGGAAGTACAGTGAAAATATAAGATAATATTTCTAAGGAATGAGTCACAGAATTCAATCAAATAGCAGTAACAGAAAGAAAGGAAAACAGGAAGGAAGGAAGGACATAAGGAAAAAAAGAACAAATGAAGGAATGAAGGAAAGAAAACAAAGGAAACGATTAAGGAAGAAATAGAAATGAAAGAAAGAAAGAAAGAAAGAAAATGGAGAAAAATACAGACAATAAAGGGAGAAAGAAAAGGAAATATAATAGAAAGAAAGAAAATGGAGAGAAATAAAGTAAGACAAGGAAAGAAAGTCATAAAGAAAAAGACAGAAAGGAAAGAAACGAAAAGAAAAAAGAAAGAAATGAAAAAAGCCAAAGAAACAAAAAGAAAATAGAGAAAGAAAGTAAAGAAATAAAATAGAAAAAGAAAGAAAATAGAGAAAGAAAGAAAAGAAAGCTGTCCTCTCTTACAGTAAGAAGAGCCTGATTGACAGACTCATTTATGTGCATTTTTCTCACCTCATAGTGTTTCTATATCCTTTAATATCATATTTTTGTAGAAAATCTTTTTCCAGTAAAGAACTCTGTAATGTTTAAAGGCTCTGCAGGGTTTGTTATTATGGTTATTTGATTAATTTTCATAATAACTAGTGTGATTAACAGAGTCCTGATGTTGAGAGATCAAACAGCCTGAAGGTAAAATATGAGTCACGGCTCTGGTTTTTGAATGATCTGGTTTTCTCGCGCAGGTAAAGGAGACATGGCCATGTCCAACATCGTGGGCTCCAACGTGTTCGACATGCTGTGTCTGGGTCTGCCCTGGTTCATCAAGACGGCCTTCGTGGACACCACGGCGCCGGTGCTGGTGAACAGCACAGGCATGGTCTTCATCACCTCCACCCTGCTGCTCTCCATCGTCTTCCTCTTCCTGGCCGTCCACATCAACGGCTGGAAGCTGGACTGGAAGCTGGGTGTCGTGTGTCTGCTGTGCTACGTCCTTTTCGCTACGTTATCCATCCTCTACGAGATGGGAATCATCGGGAATAACCCGATACGGGCCTGCGGGGACTAACTGAGCCCAGATCTGTGCACCTGAAGATGACAGTTCCACCAAAAATCTAATTCATATGGTGTTTCACGCTTTACCTCAAGTGTAGTCGATCAGCCAAGTTTTGGCGCTGGAGCTACGAGGCTAACGTAGCTTACAGGTGATTGGAGTGTATTAGCAGAGCCAGGTGGATCGATAAGCATCAATACTACCAATTCTGATGTTTCCTTTATCAGAATCAATCCTCACCTAGGAATACTCACAGCAACAGACTCAGTAATGTCTTCCAGGTTGGTCAGACAGTAGAGGGCGCTCCTGAGCGAGTCCAAAATGAACAGGTTAATATGGAGATTTTTGTCAAACATCATAGTTTGTAAAGGTTTAATCATTTTTGAACAGAAAAATGTACTTGATTACTCAACATGAAAAAGCATGAAATATTTTAACACTGCTGTTATATTTCTGAACATTTTAAAACTCCTGTTAAATAACTTTCTAAGTGTCTAATGTACCTTAATGATATTGGTGAACATGAACGCCAATGAACTGATCAGCTCACCAACAAATCAGCACACAGCAGAAGTAATGCAAACTAATCAGCACTCAGTAGGAATAATGTTAACCAATCAGTACTCAGGAACAGTAATGCTAACCAATCAGCAATCAGTAGCAGGAATGCTAACCAATCAGCACTCAGTAGCAGTAATGCTAACCAGTCAGTGCTCAGTAGCAGTAATATTAGCATCCTACCTCATAAAACCAGTTCAGTGTTGATATTGGTTTAATGTTGATATTTCTATTTATATACACACTGAAAGAAGATTCTATTTAGAACCATGCATTCTATGTAGAACCATCTGCATAATGAAATGGTTCTTTGCATGGTGAAATGGTTTGTTAGATTGATGGAGAATTTGTTGGTTCTATGTAGCACCAAAAAGGATTCTGCTATTATCACAATGTCAAGCTTGTGAAAATAGAACCCTTATTGGTGCTAAATGGAACCACTTTTTTTTAAAGGTTCTATATAGAACCATACACAACAAATTCTCCATCAATCTGAAGAACCATTTCACCATGCATGGCCCTATATAGAACTCATGGGTCTAAATAGTACCATTAAAGAACAGTTGAAGAGCCATCTTTTTTAAGCGTGTGTGTATATATAGCTATTCAGCTCCATTCACCCCCATTCATTGAGGACTCGCTCGCGGGCGCCGTCTGAGGTTTTGCCATCATGTCTTTGGTATAGCTTTGCTAGCACCATGCTAGCATTACCAGTTAGCATAGTGCTAACTGCTTGCTTAAACCATCAAAGCGTGTGAAGTTGTTCCGTAATCTCAGACTTGATTAACTGCTTACTAATAAATGTAGAACAGACTAGAACTAAACTGGCAGCTACAAGCTTCCATTACTTGTTAGCTACATTAGCCTCGTAGCTCCAGCGCTAAAGATAAAGAAGTTAAGTTCATACACCAAACTTGTCTTGGCTGATCGGCTACAATTGGGAAGAGGAGCAAATTAGATTTTTGACTGGATCACTGCTTGAAGGCCTCTGGTCCACACAGAATAACTGACCTCATACCAGCCAAAGCGGCCTTTTATTCTCACGCAAGCCTGTGGACTGACCTCTGACCTCACCTGAACACATTCAGTCCACAGGAACTGACTTCAGACCTGCTAGGAATCTGCAGTCCACTCAGACTAACTGACATCAGTCATGCCTCTGCAGACTCATCATTCATCTGAAAGCCTGCAGGCTATTTCATCTGACCACAACCAGCAGGACTCAAACAAAACAACAGACAGACACGATATGAACATTAATAACGGAACAGCTTCGGTCCTCTGTGGAACGCTGTTACTGCATGTTTTAAACAAATTCTTGTGGAAACTGTAAGACTTTTCAGACTTTTATCATGTCAAATAGTCGTTTACACGTGTGGGTCGATGGCTTCCTTTGGTTTTCTCCAAATGGACGCTTTTATACGCAGAAAAATAAAGTTAAACATACATCATCCTGTACTGACTACACTGCTCCACACATCGGACAGGTGTTTCATGAAGCTGAATTTGAGCCAAAAGCGAACATCATTCAATAAGAATGTGCATTTTATTTAAACATTGTTTAATAACATTTCTGAGAACAGCATAAATTTATCAGCTCCACTGACCATATAGTTTCACTTTGTAGTTCTACAGTTCCAGACTGTAGTCCATCTATGTCACTCTCAGCACTGCAGTGACTGCGAATGGATCAGACAGAGCAGTGTTGCTGGAGCTTTTCATCACCTCAGTGTCGCTGCTGGACCAAGAAACAAAAACATCCAGCCAACAGCGTCCTGTAGGCAGTGTCCTGTGACCACTGATGAAGGACTAGAGGATTTTACATTAATTGTAGACTTTACATCTACAAGGTGGACCAACAAGGTAGGAGTGTCTACTAGAGTGGACAGTGAGTGGACTGGAACTCCATCCTGTGACCTATCCACTCGCACCACCACTTCAGTGTGTGTGTATATTGTGTATATATATATATATATATATATATATATATATATATATATATATATATATATATATATATATTCTGAATCGATTCATTCAACGTCAAAAATCGATTTTCTAAATATTTAATTTGTAACGTAATGTTGACGGAACGCAAAAGGCTGAACTGGAAGTGGGTAAGTGCAGCACCCAGACAGTCTGTGGCGGCACGTAACAAAAACACTACTGGAGGAGCGAGAAATTCAACCGGCTCCCTCTGCATTAAAGCCAGGTTAGATCAGGAGTCACAACACAAATGATAAGAAGAGCCATTTTGTCCTTTCAACGAAGTCAAACCACCTTGGGAGCCACAACATTTTATGTCCAGTATGTCTCAGTATGTGTTAATGTCCTAGTATGGGCTAAAAATATAAACGAGAGCGCAGATTTACTCCGCTCTGCTTTAAGCTTCAGCTATAGCCGCTTTCCTCCCATCTCCGCCAGAAAACTTTTCTTCAAAACTAGAAGAGTTTCTTGTAAAATGTCTCAGCATCCGGCTGTTTTGCGAAGCTGAAGTTGCTTCTCATTCGCCAGCTTCTCGTTCTAATTTTCCTTTTCCACCTTAAATTCTGCCTTAGGCGCCGAATGTAACTGCTGCACCATTTAAGGTGGAACGGGAAAATTCGAAAGAGAAGCGAGTTCATTTTCACAACTTTTTAGAGAAAGACAGTCTCTCAGCAGATTTAACCAACCAAGTCCTCCAAATGTTCGTCTTAATCTGTTTTTTCGTTCGCTACTGGCGAGGCCAGACGTCGGGGCTATGTGACCTGCTGTCCTCGGTCGTTGAGAACCAGGGCTTTCGCGCTATGCTGCACACTTTGGAGCCGAGATTCAGCGTCCAGTCTCGAAAATACCCCCCCACTCTCTACAACGAGACCAAAAGGGTGGCTGCAACGTACTGCGTGGACACCCATTTCCACTGGATCTTATTTCAGGGCAACAGCGCATTTTATCGCAGATGAGTGGCAGCAGTGTCTCTGAATGAGAGCCTTCTAGTTCACTTGCCACATCACTTCCATTTGATTTATTAATAAAAGATATTTTAGATATTTAAAGCAAAGTATTTGTAATGATCCGTAATGCATTTACATTAGGGATCATTACAAATGTATAGAGAAAAAAGATGCATCGATAATCGTTTTATAATCGCATCGCAGCCCTCTGAATCGTAATCGAATCGAATCGTGAGGTGCCTAAAGATTCCCACCCCTAATATATATATATAAAAACGCACACACACACAGTTCCTCTCAGAGGTGGACAGTAATAAAGGACATGAACTTAATTACTGTACTTCAGTAGTTTTTCAAGTATCTGTACTTTTATTACAGTATTTAGTTTTGAAAATAGCCTACTTTTCACTTTCTGCAAGATAATAAGGTACCAACTACATTTCCCATTATATCAGAAAGAATATGATGCACTTTCACAAATAAACCAATCATTGTGCACCTGTTACTAAAGCCCTTAGCAACTGTAACTGGGCCACCGACAAACTTTCAGGATGGAAGAAGATGCCAGACCAGGATTCACTGTCGGAGCAGACAAACAACATAGTTTCTGGCATATTGCAGCCTAATTACTGTACTGTTATAGTAAATTAAATACATACACACTCTTACAAAAGCTGGTTCTTCAAGGGTTCTTTGCATCATTAAAGGGTTCTTGAAACTGATGGACAATGTATTTCATGATGAATAGACCAAAAGAAACGGCCCAAAATTACTTGCAAAAACGTCTGGTTCCATTGACTTACATTAAAAGTATATATAAGGTTTTTCCTCCTCCTGTAAAGTTACCATTTTGAAGATACAAGGTTTTCTTCCGACAACAGTGATATGTATATATATGTAATAAATATATATATATATATATATATATATATATATATATATATATATATATATACACACACACACACACACACACACACACACACACACACATCTGTGTGTATATAAATAACCTTTTTAACATCCATGTGAATGGGCCTCCTGTTAATCAACCTCTACAGACATTCCGGCATGATCAGGAGTCTCAGTATCAGGTAAGGGAGGAGCAGCACGTTAAATGCAGGTTGGAACTAAACTCTGGAAGAAAGTAGGATTAAAGACCAGTGGAGCTCAGTCCTGGTCCTGGAGATCTACCACCCTGGAGAGTTCAGATCCAATACACCTGGCTCTGGTATTAAGACATGCTCCTGAAGGTCTTCTTTACCTGGTGTTAGACCAAGGGTGGAGCTAAACTCTGCAGGGTGGTAGATCTGTAGGAGCAGGACTGGGCTCCCCTGGAGAGTCAACCATATGTTTTGGAACTTTATCAATTTTCACATTCTAGACGTAAAAAAAAAAACAACAACAAAAAAACAAACAAACAAAAAAAGAGGTTTTAGTTTTGCATGATATGGGTCCTTTAAGGCAAAAGTCAGGACTGTCCAGTGGGAGGAAAGGTTGGACAATCTTCATTTTGTAGTCAGCCAGCTGACTGAAAGATGCTGCTGTGAGAGATGCCATCCAGCAGACTATACAGATTTTTCCTGCTCGTTTGAGTTTTTATTCATTTTCAATTACCAGCCACATCATATCAGCCTTTTGGACAGATAATCTGCATTGACATTTCAGAATATTCACCTTTTTTAAGCAATTGAGACATAGTGTCATGAAAACACTAAAAGTTTTATGAAGCCAAATGATCCTTAATTTTGTTCATTTATTTCAACAAGCCATCACTGAACACACACTTTTATAAATAATGTACAAAATGTCTTTTGTAACAGATGCTTATTTGGATTAGTATTAAAATAAGCGCGTGTTGACATAGTACTTTTCGATATGCCTTACTGTACAGTGTTGATTATTTTGCCCATCACCTGCAGAACTTTTTTTTGTTTGGGGACCTATAATTACGCAGAAACTTGGTGTTTATAATAAGCATTTGTATATTCACCAGACAATTTTTTTTAAATTTAATAAACAATTCATGTGTTTGAATTTTTATTACATATAAAAAACATTGTTACTTACAAAGCATTTTAATCATGCTAGAAACAGTAATCTTCACACGGAAGAGTTAACAGGTTCATTTTAATTTCCTTCAGGTAAATCAACAGAAAGTTGACGCCTGTAGTGCCTTTAAAAGCACTGCGGTATTTTCATAGAGCGTAAAGTCCTTTTGGAGACGGTTAAAGCCGTAAGGAGGAATGCTGTCTAAAAGCCATGACTGGTATTTCAGTGACTAACCAATCATCTTTTTTCACTTTACAACGACGTTTCCAACTGTACCACTTCAGAGCGGACTTCTTTAAAGTTTTACAGGGTTTTAGACAAGATTCATTTCTATATAAACGCAGATTTATAGAGTTTGTTCACTTTAATCTTTAACCGTCCGAAGATGCTTACCCAGCAGCTCAAACGCTTTAAATCGAGACCACATTCAAGACGGCGGAGCTTAAAAATTAAAAAGTTTATTGTTTTTCATCCAAATATACTGGTGATCCACAAATTAAAAAGGGTTTACAAAAAAAGAGAAAGAAAACAAAAAGTAGTCACAGTATATAAACAAAACATTATGCACATCCACTACGAGGCTGATTATGATAATCTTACTGTGTTTGTGTATGAATGTATGAGAGATGCAGTCCAAAAGTTTAGAAAAGTGTTTTTAAAACAAAACAATGGTCTGAAAGGGACAGTTTGGGGACAGTTCGGGGACAACCTGATGGAGAGGGGTGTTGTGACAGAGTGTTTATTTATCTGTTTACACGTTGCGGTCGAGGCGTACGTCCACCTCCCTGCCGTTTATCTTGGTTCCGTTCATCAGCCTGCAGGCTTTCTCGGCGCTCTCCGGAGAGTCGAACCGCACCGTCCCGCAGCCTTTGGACTTCCCGTTCTCCATCTTTATCTCCGCGTACATCACCTGACCTGGAAACAGAAGGAAAATGAGGACACGCCACATTAGTACATACAGTTTCATCCACCTTCTGTGCAAACTGCAAGTGACAACATGAATAAAGTGACAAAGCCGCTCAACAAAGGTCTGATTTATCAATAAAAATTTTATGTTTGTTGCAACTTGTGTCTCCGACAATCTACTAATACGGTAATTAGGATTTTTATTATTGTTATTTTTCTATCTGAGCTGTTCTGTGAGAGCTGCAGTCTGTTCTGCTCGTCTCTCCGTTAAGAGCTGAAAAGTGTCAGCGTTTCTTTTAACAGCGTTCTCGTCTCCTCTGCTGCTCCACCAAGCTGTCTGGGTTTTTGTAAGAGGTGTGGGACAGAAATTGGCCACTAGAGGCTGAATTTACATGTTATTTTTTCCGAAAATACACGTTTCCAATGTATGTTTCGGCACCATTTCAGGCGCTGACAAATTATACACATAAACTGAACAGAAAAAAACCTGTGTTGACTTTCATAAAATATTCCCAGCAAATTGTTTCCACAGACTATTCATAAGAGTGAAGAGCAAAAAACAACCTGGGTGCTAATAGCGCCCCCTTGTGAAGAATCTTTAGCCTGTTTTAGGTGAGTAAAGACAGTTCATCATATGTTCAAAAAAATAAAAAATAAATAAATAGTGCTCTGTCCTGAAGAGACCAATGATGTGGGTGGTTGCATTCACAATATTTAGCTTGTTTTACATTCTATCCTCAATTTTATGCATTAAAGTGGCCAGGGAAAAAAAAATCATTATCAATTAGAATTGTTAATGTATAGACCAAAAACTGATCATATAAAATAACACACTGTAACTACCAAAATCTAAAACACTAAATATCTCACTAAGGTTTCTTTCCATCTTGTACTTATGACCATCGACAGGGAGGTAATAAAAATATTTCCAAGACTCAAACTTTACAAGAAAGATAAAAACAATAAGTTAATGTAAAGAAATTTTATTTCAAGTAATTTTAGAGCATTTCTATTGGTCCACTCATAATTCAGATTTCACACAATGAAGTAAAGGACAGCCGCTGAACTCAAACGACACTGAAAAATACAAATCTGAAAAAATTGAGATGGGTTCTTTTTTGGACAGTGATGTTTTATGACTCATGTTTTGACTCATTTTCTCCCTTAATCAGATGCATTTCAGTACATACATCTTAAAGTGCTCAAGAACAGTTATTTACTTAAATCTATTCATAATCAGGCTCCAATGATGTGTTCACTTTGTACTTTTATAACATACATTAGTAAATTATATCAGCTGCTTCTCTTCCTTAAAAGGTGTGTCTAGTACACCAGCACTTACCACAGTGGCTGAACTTCTCCTTCAGCTTCTGCCACGTGAGATCATAGGACAGCTGTGTGCAGAAAGCGCATCATTAAAACCACTCAGCATCACTACTACACAGGGGTTTACTCTGGTGAGTGCTCAAACTAAGAAATGTCACTACAAATGTAATAAAGATCACTCACAACAATGAAATAATAATTTACAAAGAAAGCACTGAAAAATACAATGTACCACTATATAACATTGTGCTACTACTGTACAGCAGGTAAACAGCAGGAGATGGAGCACTACAAAAGTGGAGAAGTTCATCCAACCTCCTTCATACTCACGTTTCTCACAAAGATTTGGCACCCTGCCTTTGACCCCACCCCTCTGTCCGACATGCCGCCGCCCATGTGACCAGAGCCGCCTCCGTATTGGCCGAAACCTCGGCTCATATCCATGTTCCCGCCCATCCGGTCGAAACCCCCGCTCATGCGGTCCATGCCCATATTACCCATCCCTCCTACACACAAAGAGAAACATGACCATCAGCTGAGGAGACACGTGAGGACCAGCTCCCACTCCACACACACGAGAACGCTTACTACTCCAGCGCTAAAGCTCACTGTTCCTCTGATTGTACAGTTAGAACGGCCAAATTACAGTAAACACAGCAGTCAGCTGCACTGTGGCCAGATTTTCTATTTCCAAACACGGCTGAAGGATCAGACTTATGTAAAAAGATCAGACACACTGGTCTGCATCAGCCGCCAAGAACTCCAACCAGGAGAGCTGATCTACGATCTGTTTGTCCTGATCCTAGATCAGCACTCCTCCTCTGACCAGCTCTGAAAATGGTATATATGTATTTCTATTCAATGTTATTCTGTACACTGGAAAGCTGTAGAAGACTAATAACTAAAAATGAATAAAAAAGCTGAAAAATAAAGAAAAAAGCTGTAAAATATCAAGAAAAAAAGCTGTAATAAAAAAATATTCAGAAGTAATGGAGAATTGTGTGCTATCCGCTTTCATTTGAAAGCAGATAGCACAGCCAAAAACGAATAACAATTTTAAAAATATATACATACACCCAGCATTACAGAAATATTGATTGAAATATGTAAAAATACCCTATGGGTAAAAATGGTACATCACTGCAGGACAAAACCCTCCAAAATAGTAAAATTACAGAAGAACGGAAAACAAGTTCTTAACTTTTAATACATACCAAAGTAAAGAGATATTTTTATAATCATTTTGGACCAATTTTTTTTTATTCTGAATCATTTGAGCATTTCTAAATTATTTGAGGAGAAAAAAAAAAAAGGTTTTGTTCCAACAGCGATGATGTGGGTCATCGTGTGTAGAGCAGAATGTAGTTTACAGAACTGAATGTTTTCAGGGAGTTTGTGGGTTTACCTATTCCTGCTCCCATAGGTCCCATCCCAGCATTTCCCATTCCTCCTCCATAACCCCCCATTCCACCTCCTGAGGAGAGAAACAGCAACTTATGAGAAACAAGCAAGCAAGCAAAAAAAAACAAAAAAAACAAACAAACAAACAATCACCCACACTACCATTCATAGGTTTAGAATCAGTGCTTCTATATTATTGAAAACAATTTGATTGAAGGGGGGGAAAAAACATTTTAATAAATAAAATTACTGGCTTGTTCTTAACGTCTACATTCCAATAGTTGCATTTGTGTTTACCATGTAGTTTCAAAAAGAGCTCTACATCTGTACTGTCAGGCTATTGTGTGTGTGTGTGTGTGTGTGTGTGTGTGTGTGTGTGCGCGCGCGCTCGCTCTGCTTACCTAGACCTCCAAACGAGTCTCCAAAAGGCCGGTTCATCCCCATATCACTGCGGCCAAAGTCACGGTCCATTCCACCCATACCAGCACGATACATATCTACACAGAGCAGGAGTTAAATACAAGAGTGGTGGAAAGCAAGGCTGCACAACATATACCAGAATTAAAAACATCAGCAGACAGGAAACCAGAGAGGAGAGGAGAAGGGACCAGAAGTGAGGAGAGGAAAGAATAAGAGAAGAAAAAATAAAAGAAGAAACATTAAGAGAAAAGGAAAGAGTAGAGAAGGTACAATAAGAAGAGAGGAGAGGAGAATAAGAGTAGAGAAGGAACAATGAGAGAAGAGAAAAGAGAAAAAAGAGAAGAGGGGAAAAAAGAGATGGAACAATGAGAGAAGAAAAGAGAAAACAGAAGAAATGTGAAAAGAGAAGAGGAGAGAAAAGAGAAGAAAAGAGAGGAGAGAAAAAAAAATACAGAAGCGAAGAGAGGGAAAAAAAAAGAAAATAAAAACAGAAGGTGTTTGTTTGGTTTTACCTCCCATCCTGCCCATGGGTGCCATGTCTCTGCCTCCGAATCCACCCATAGCACCCACTCCATCCATCCCACCAAACCCTCCTCCACCCATTCCTGCAACACACACACACCAGTCAGAGACAGAGCTCTTCAGAGTCACTGAATCTGATATGAAGAATCAGCTCCACCTTACCTCCCATCCTGTTCATGCCTCCATAACTACCTCCATCCATTCCTGTGCAGAGAAAGAGGAGAAATTAAGAGAGGAACGGAGAGGAGGAACAAAGATAAGGGAGGAGAGGAGGAACAAAGGGAAGAGAGAAGAAGAGAAAAGGAATGAAAAGAAGAGGAGAGAAGAAAGGAATGAAGACAGCATGTTAAATTGTACTTGGTTTGCCTCAGTGATGAACCAATAACGATTTTCAAATCATGTCTAGCGCTAATCATGAATTTATATGCTTGATGCGATTTCGATTTCTTCAGCAGATAAACCGGCCTCTTCATTTCTGTATTCAAAGATTATGCCTGAAATATCCGGTTAGGGAACAGAAGTGTCGTTCATTGCTGCTACAGCTCAGCTAAGAACACGCGCTTGTTATCTCAGAGACATTTAATGGGACATAAAACAATGTTTCTGCAGTTTATAGCTGAGTGAAGATGAAAGGCATAAACTTTTTAAAAAAGCTGAGCTTTAAATTACACAAGAATGCTGCACCTCACTCACTTCCAGAAAAAGAAGAGTTATTATTGGAACTCAAGCTCGTAAAAGGCAGCCAGTGATGGACTGTCAGTTGAACACCACTGGTTGCTGACAGTCTCTTGAACTGCGTTACACATTACATTCTCGTTATAACTGGATCTATTATGCCCTCGCAAAAGTAAGCTGAGCAGGTCAGCACAAAGCTTATCGGCTAATAAGCTAGTTCAAGCCTTCACAGGAGTTACTTAAATACAGACAAAGTAAAAAAAACAAATAATAAAAAAAAATTGGTCATGAGCTAAAAATATCTATTTAAATTAGAGCTAAATTCAAAATAATAGTGCTGTGCTAACCCCGCTAGCTTGGCGCTAACTATGGTGAACAAACCAGGGTTAATTTATTAATTTTTTTTTTTAAATATTTGAAGGTTACACTACACATGCTTCGTGAAAATAGCTAAGTAAACAAATTTATCATATATAATATGATATTATACAATATAGAGGGCCAGCTGCTCTGTTGCACAATCTGTAACTGTGAATCACCTCCAACTCACCGTTAACCTACTTTCAGCATGCAAACAGCAGGGGGCGCTCTGACCGCTCTCCCTCCCTATAACTGGGGTAAAAGTATTAGGCTAGCTTAGAGCTGTATTGAGCAATAATCAGAGCGGTCCAGTCGAGCTGGCACTCGCAAGGACCGGGCGACCTCCTGTCACAATAAAGCGCTTCTGTTTACTTTACAAGATCCTCATAATGACATCCAAGCTCTTATCTTATCAGCTCATCTCTCTCCTCTATCACTCGTTATCTCAACGGTGCTCATCTTCTGGATTAAAATGTAACGGAGAATTGAAGTCGGAATTCGGTCCAACGCTCCTCCAGCTCCACATACGAGTCTTACCAAACAATCGGAAAATGACGCACTTGATAAGCCTTGATAACATTTAAGATTGTTATGATTCTGAGAAGTTTAAAACGGCGCATCAAAAACATGTTGCGCAAGGGCAATTGGTTTGCTGGAAAAGGGCTAGTCAGGGGTCAAAATGCACAATCAGGTCTGCGTTAGGGGTGTAAAAAGGCACCGCCACGAATCTGTCCGAAAGGTTTTAATTGGTTTTAATCATTTATGATAATGTACTGTATTATATATTTTACAATTTATGCCTAAACATTTAAATATAAGCTTGACAAAGTTTTTATTGTCTGTATTCCACTACTGTAAAACTGGATGATTAAGGGGGGCCCAAACTTTATCATGGGGGCCCAACAATGTTTGTGGTGGGCCAAAATAAATAAATAAATAAATAAATAAATAAATAAATAAATAAATAAATAAAAAATTTCAAAACCCCATTTCAAAAAGGTTGGGACGCTGTGCAAAATGTAAATAAAAACAAAATGCAATGCTGTGCGAATCATTTAAACCCTATATGTAATTCTAAATAGTACAAAGACAACAAATCAAGTGTTGAAACTGAGAACATGCACATCTGTGAAGGCACCATTAATGCTGAACGATAAATACATTTTTGGCAACATATGCTGCCATCCAGACGACGTCTTTTTCAGAAAAGGCCTTGCTTATTTCAGCAAGACAACGACAACCACATTCTACATGTATTACAACAACATTACTCCGTATTAGAGCAAGAGTCCGGGTGCAAAACTAGCCTGCCTGCCGTTCAAACCTGTCACCCACTGATGAGCAACTGAAATCCTATATCAAACAAGAATGGGAAAACATTTCACTTTTAAAACTACAGCAGTCGGTCTCCTCAGTTCCCAAACACTTACAGAGTGTTGTTAAAAGAAGAGAAACACAGTGGTAAACATGCCGCAGTCCCAACTTTTTTGGAAGGTGCCATCAAATTCAAAATGGGCATATCTTCTTCAAATAACAATAAAATTTCTCAGTTTCAATGTTTGATATTTTGTCTTTGTAGCATTTTCCTTTAAAAATATGGTTTACATGATTTGCATATCATTGCATTCTATTTTTATTTACATTCTGCGCAGCATCCCAACTTATTTGGAAATGGGGTTGTAAATAAATTTAAAAGATAAGACAGGAGGTAGACTTCATATTTAGGGCTTACTTGAATTTTTATAACATTACACTATGTTTTAGGACTAAACCACTCTTAAAACAGATGGTTCTTCAAGGGTTCTTTAATAAAGAAAATGGTTCCACATAGAACAATGAATACTCCCAGACCCCTTTGTATGATAAATTGCAAAAGTTTTCTTCAGACTGATGGAAAATGTGCTATAGATGTTTCTATATCGAACCTTTTTGAAAAGGGTTCCACATAGCACCAAAAAAAGGTTTGTATTCAGTATTCAGTCATTTTTAATTTGCTTACTCAAATCTAAAAATATGTTAGCCATCTAAAATAAACTCTCCAATAAGTTCTCAAAATTTATTCACAGCAAATAAATGAGTGAGTGGATCAACCCATGATTCAGTGCGTGAGTACTGACCTCCCATTGAGCTCATTCCTCCTCCTCCTCCTCCTCCTCCTCCGCTCAGACGGTTGGTGTTGATTGGCTGACCACCAGGACCCAAACCCATCCCGATACCCCCAAGACCACCTGCAAAAACACAACACAAACCATCATGGTTATTTAAACCAGATTGGAGTTTAGGGTTCTGATTCTCCACTTCAGTCTGTATAGCTGTGATCAAGTAAAATACAGGTGACTACTACCAGGTTCTTAAAAGGAACAACTGTAAGGATTCGCCCCATCATTGACAGATCATGTGTTCTGAAAGCCTCTCATGTTTAAGTATAGTAATTTTAATCTGACTTGCAATCAATCAATCAAATCAAAATCAATCAATAAATAAATAAGTGGGTTGAAGGTGAACTGGATTATCAGCTCTAGTTTCAAATAAGAAGCCAGAAACTCAGCAAAGCAAAGACTGACCCAGAAAAACAAGGTTTGTTTATATCAGCGTAACCACAATCTCTCCTCTTTTGGGATAATATTAAATTTTCATAAGCTCTCAAACTAATTTTCTAATGTTAAAAACTGTTGCAGACAAACTGACTTTAAAAGCACACAAACAATAATATACAAGTTTTTTCAACCATATCATACACACAGCCCACACTGCCACTTAAAACATCTTTAAAATCAGACTGCATACATAAATAAAACAAAAACATTAACACAGCTGTCACTAGAAAACATTGCCAAACAGCAACTTCTGGTAAAATGAAATGTGTTCTTAACTTTCACTCTGAGACGTTCATACAACATAAAGGCAGTAGAGCTCTGTCTGAGGATTTCTTGCTTAGCCAGCTAACATAAAGCTTATTTCGATCTAAGCCTGGATTTTCTGTTTCATAACTGTGGATCACGTTTTACCAGACTTCATCACCATGGCAACTTATGCTGCATGCCTAACCCACTCAAAGGCTGATCAAGTCCAGGATTTCAGATCCTACAACAGCTCTTGAACCAATCTGGGCTGCGCTTCTGAGTTTTCACCAATCAGGGATGAGCTTCTGACCAAAGAGGGGCCAGGGAGGTGGACCCTTCCAGCCCTTTTCGGAGTCCCCCCCCCCTCCCTTTGTGACTTCACATGTAAAATCTGTCTTGACCTAAAAGCCACTCGACTCAAATGTTTCACGCAACTGGCTATTCATCATCAATGTCACACTTGACTCGTGCATGAGCCCAAGTGTCTAAACCTGGTTTAAAAGCATTGACAACCAGCTTCATAAAGCAAGTTAACAGGGATCGTTTGTGAAGTTAGTGACGCTAACCCTGTCTAAGCTGAACATACCTGATAAGACCAGGCCGAGTCTTGTCATATGATAATTAATTAATAAATGAATGAATGAATGAATGAATGGGGGGGGGAGGTGCAAAACAAGGGTAAGTAATACAAGTGCACAACAATAAAGCTGCTGGACTTCTTACGAGGCAACTGAGGCGCTTTATCGGCCGAACGGAAGTCATCCGGAGGAAGAGACTTCTCATCCTGAAAGAAAAACAATATACAAACAACATTATCATGAGAAAAGCACAGCTCATGTGGAGTCAAGAGTTCAACATAACTTTAGCAGTACGGAGAATCATTTAGGTTCAGCATTTTAATCGTTTACTCACCATTTTCACATGCATTTGTCTGTCAAACAGCATCTGACCGTTAAACATGGCTGTTTACTACAGTTAAAGGAGATAAACATGGGAAGAACAGAGCCTCTCGCACATTTCATATGCATGCTTGAGCACTTACACATTTTCACAGACGTGTGTTTACTAGGAACAGTTATTTTTACCTTCAATACGGAGTCGAGTCATTTCATATCAGCTGATACCAATATTCACATTTTCAGTGATAATCAAGATAAAAAAACATTCATGATCTAATTTAACCTCATTCTAAACCTGTATCAAACCTGAAAATGTGTATCATTATTAGGCTCTTATTTACTGTATGGGGGGAAAAAAATAAATAAATAAAAAAAAAAAAACACACAAGAAAACGTGTATCAGATTGGTACCAAAACCCTGAGTACAAATATCGTTATCAGATCACAGATAACAGAGTCTTACAGTGCAGTGAAGTTAGTAAAAAACAATTTAGATAAGACAAGCTAATGCCATCAAAAATACACCAATAAAATTACTTTATTTTTAGTATGCACACAGTGTCCTTGTTTCACCATGTCTTGCGAGTGAGTCAGCAGAAACACTGGAAGTGCAGATTTAACATTTTAGAGGAAAAAAACTTTCATTTTCTGTGTTTACTGTCTTCTAAAACCGTGCCTCACTGCTGGAGGCTGTGGATAACATCCATTTATGTCACCTCTGGGACAGTAAATGATGCAAAATAGGGTAAAACAGATTAAACAGAAGATCACCGAAACCTGCTGACTCAGAATTGTTTACAGTGGTGGTGAGAGGAACCAGACAACCACCTCTAAAAGCTCCATCACAGAAAGTTATAACACGAAATGGTTATCAATAACCATTTGACTTATGACAGACATTATTTCGCGTTCATTTTAGGTCAAATCTTTTTTTTTTTTTTAATTCATTCATGGTTGAGGGATTAATGCAGGGTGCTGTAAGGCAAAATAATCCCCAAAGAAAACTTACTATTTCAGATTTTCCACTATTTTTCCCCCCCATCATCAACATTCCACATAAAACTCAGAAGACTCGTGTAGGTTCACTGGTGGTTTTGGATAGTGAATAAAATGTTTATATCTGTGTTGTAGTCATTGCAACCCCTGGTTCCTGTCACCACCACTGTAAAGAAACCTGAACCATTTCACACCAAACCACTCTGAATGACTTTCTGTATAACCACTGTATTACACAGAAAATTTGAAAAGTCAATGGAATTTCCCTTTAAATTACAACACAGGAGTTTATTTAATTTGCTCAGGTAGCAAAGAAAAGAATTACTTGTGCTGTAGTTATGGCAAGCTCTGAGAAGGTTTTGGGCTAAAAACATTTTTTTTTAAAAATCCATTCATGGAAATTTTGAAAACTTCTTAAAGCCATTACCAGTTATTAAAATTACGTGATCTTTCAGAGCCCTACTATTTGTATGCAACCGTTTTAGTGACCACAGAAGGATACAGATGGCCTGCACAGCCTCCAGCGGCTGCTCAAAGGTGACGATGCCCATTCCTCTGCTCTTCCCGTCTTTATCCTCCTTCACATCCGCCCTCTTCACTGTGCCGGCCATGCTGAACACTTCCTTCAGCTTCTTCCAGCCCACCTTAAAATCCAGCTGCACACACAGAAGAGCGCAGTCACCAAGGATGAAACTCAACCACTGTCTTTAGATATCTTCTGTATGCATCTGCGTGAACGATTACTGTAGGCTTTACTGTCAACACAGGAAGGTTCATTAAAAGTTCACTGCCACTCAGAGCTGGAGCTCAAGGCATCAGTCCTTCCATTACACAGACTTAGGAGGACTCGAAGTACATTTGAAATGTATTCATTTTTATTTTGATTTACAATCACAGTTTAGTTTTAATTCGTTTTAAGGGGCCTTAATTTTTAACTTTTAGTCTAGCTTTGTATTTAGTTTCAGTTTTTAGTACTACTATGTAATTCCAAATCTGTTGTGTCCCTCTAAAGCGTTTCGCTGTTCTAGACATGTTAAATTAACACTAAGGCTGCCTGATTATGCCAAAAATCATAATCACCATTATTTTAGCCAACAATGAGATTACAATTATCTAACATGATTACTCTGTGACTTTGAAAACATCATGCATTTACTGAAGTTTTTGAACACTGGATTTCCTTAAACTTAATCTAAACTTAATCTAAATTTAAACTAAATACAATTTTGATGAAAAACAAATAAAAATTAAAGGAAATCAGTGCACTGGATTTATAACAAGACAAAACAAGAGCATCACACAAAACTGAATGCAGCACAATCATTGTTCTAACTCGATTTTCACAAAGACACCATTGTAGTTAAAAAAAAAACAAAAAAAAAAACAACATTTCAATGAATCGCCCGTCCCCAGTTAGAACTGCAATATTATTCAGGAAAGGATAAAATATCTTAAGGGGCAATTAATGCCCTCACTAACTGGGGCATGTACAATTAACAATGTTTATTGATTTAATACACTTATTACATTTACACCATGTTATCTGGGTGCAATTTTCTATTTTACTTTGTTTCTGGGGAAAAATGCTGAACATGGGGGCATTTTGGCTCTTTGTCCCTGATTATTCCTGCACAACCTCCACTACTTATACTGAATATGTGTGGCTATATACAGTTACGTATTACTGTACAACACTGCATGTTACAGTCATGCCAATAAAGCTAATATAAATCAAGCTGTATGGCGAGAGGGAGGGAGAGAAATCGATAAATATTCTTACGTTGGCCACAAACACCGTGGACCCAAGGCGTCCCGCCTGAAGTGCACTGATTATTTCTGGAGGGATGTTGGGGTTGTTGAGGATGGAGGGGGGCAAATTCATTCCTGCTGGACCCCCATCGGACCCCCTGCCCCCAGAGAACCCAGAGCGCTGCAGCACCCGCCGTGCATGCTCTCCATCAGGGTCCTAAAACAAGAAGCACACTGACTGACTACCCTTCATCTGTGAATTATCAACATTCCACAGAAAACTCAGAATACACTTGTAGGTTCACTGGTGGTTTTGGATAGTAAATAAAATGTTTATATTTGTATTGTAGTCATGGCAACCCCTGGTTCCTACCACCACCACTGTAAAGAAATCTGAACTGTTTCATATTAAACTGTTCCTGTATAAACACTAAATCACACAGAAAATTCTAAAAATCTGTGGAATTCTCCTTTAAATTTTTGCCTGAGCAACAGAAGAGCTAATTAAATATGTAAAGTTTGGGCAGAAACGCGTCATACCTCTTTAATGTTCAGAGGCCGGCCATTAAGATCATGTTTATTCATGACCTCCAAAGCTTTCTTCACAAACTCCTCATCTTTGAATTCAACCACCCTAAAAAAAGGAAAAAGAAAGTCATGTCCTCCTGAAGGACAAAGTGGAGAAGTGAACATGCAGAAAATACTGGATCGATCTTTGGAAGGCTTGTACTTACCCACATCCCTGTCAGCAGCACAGGAGGATTCCATACAGGCCACGAAGAGAAGAATAAACAGACCATAGAAATTAATACAGTTAGATAACACAACTGAGTGGTTTGATAAACTGAGCTGCTTAATTGGAGGGTAGAGTTTATTATTCTAACAGTGCATCTTATTAAAGTGGGACAATTTATCTGTAATTACTATTGACCACAAACAAGGACTTTATGAACAAATGAAAAAAGAAAAAGCTATCTTTTTGCAAATATGAAAACCTCCAATTAAAAAAAATATATACTATTACTAGACAATTGTCAAGACATTTAAAATGAAGGGTGAAATTGAGATTAATACTGAGTTTGTAGGTTCTCGAACTGTATAAATTGTAAGAAAAGAGCATTTATGAAGCACAGAGATGGACACGGTTTAAGAAGGGCAGCTGAAAAGTAAAGCAAGTTATACAATAAAACAGTACCTGGATTATATAAAACGTTAGACAGAATATAGAATTCCCCTTATCATACACATTCTGTCTAGAGTCATTATCAAAATTCCCCCATAAAAATCTTAGTGATCAATAAAAACACCTGAGCAATCATCAAATAAATCATCATTTCCAATAAGATATAGCTCCAGACTTGAAACCACCAATTTGCAGCCAAATAAACTGGAGTTTTCTTTAAACATTTAAAAAATTTTCCCGCTAAACTTCACCAAAACCATCCCAAGGTCAAAAGGTCAGCAGTCATCAGCAGTATCAGACTCTACCCACAAAAATAAACCTAAAATCAGTCACAGGGGGGTGTCCCCCGTACGGCAAAATTAGAGAATGAAGCCGTGGAGGGCGTTTAAAGCCTCGCACGGCACAGCAGAGTCGCCAGCACTTACCCTTGACTTTCCTTCAGCATCCTTAAAGAGCTCCACGTATGTAACCTCACCGACTACATGAGACATACAAAAAGGGAAAATACCAAAAAACACAAAACACAATGCATTTAAAACACCGGTGGTGTCATCACAGCAGTCCTGGAAACAACACTACAGGTAAGAAAGCCCAGTTAAATAAAATCACCAGACCAAATCTCCGCCCACAACACCACCGTACCATACTGTAGATTTACACAGACACCAGGCAGCTATACAACAACATTCAGCTATGGAGGTGCACAGTTTCAGGAACAGTTACACAGTTTTCAAAGCACAGTACTGTTTTAAGGTGACCATCCACCTTTTCCATCCTTCTAAAAGATCGTTTTATGAACCAAATTCCAATATTATAGGTAGGACACAAGCAAATAAGATCAATTTGTGTCACCTTACAACAGATTCGACGGTAAACATTGCTCTGAGGTTACATGTTGGAGCTAATTACAAATACAAGAGCCAAAAGGAATCTTCATCTGGGACATATTCAAACCAGAACTGTAGTTAAACTCCTCCCAAGAAGGGAAAAAAAAAGAGAGAAACCCTGTCCATATTGGTCATTCAACTTCAGCTCATCTGCCTGATTCTCTAAATTTCGCTTATGTTACTTTAAAGCCCCCTGTACGTGGCCGATATAGAGGGAATAGGAGCGTACGTGTGCCGTAAGCTCTGCAACCGTTACCTTTCTCTCGCATTAGATCTTTAATTGCCTGCCACTTCATATCATAAGGGATATTGCTAATGAACACGCGGTTTCGGTGGCCGGACTTCTTGTCTCCGGATCCCCCATGACGGTCCTTGTACGGGTGGTAGCGGTTAGACTTTCGGCCACTGGAAGACTTCTCCTTCCCCTCCGATTTCTCCTTGGAAGTCTCCTCCTCATCCTCACTGGACAGAGAGCAAAGAACATTCATTAGTATTAATCGCCTTCTTCATACCATACCGTTTACAAACTTTACAGTAATACTAAAAAAAAATTAGACACTGGATGGAAAAATTTTTAATTCGATCCCATCCTGGGTTGAAAAGCATTTTGAGAAATGGACACTCATCTTAAGTGAAGCTCTTCATTAAAATATGTATCAGTACTGGATGATACTCAAGGTTTCAAGATCGGTGGTAAAAAAGTTGTATTGTGCCATGTTTAGGTGTGTTGTGGAAAAAGTGATCAGTCTCCCTAAAAATTTTTAAGCAAAATTTCCTTCACAACTGTCCAGGAGGCAAAATCTATACTTGTAAAAAGGACATTTCTTTATGGAGTCTTAACACATGTTCTAAATAGGACTATGAACACAACCATTTGCATGGTGAAATGGATATTCAGATTGATGGAGAGTGTGTTGCATACGGTTTTACACAGAACCTCTCTTGAAAATGGTACTATACAGCACCAAAAAAGATTCTTGTTAGCTTGTTAGAATAGAAGAACCCTTTTTGGTGCTACGTAGAACCATATACAACAAGTAACACCGTAGTAATAATGTCAAGCTTGTATACAACAGCAGAACCCTTTCTGGATCAACACATGAGCATTTTCAAAAAGATTCTATATAGAACCATATATAACTCATTCTCCATCAATCTGAAGAACCATGCAAAAACCCTGCGAGCATGCAAATGGATCTTCGAGTGTCCATGGTTCTATTTAGAGCCACTGTCTTTTTCTATAGAACCATCTTTTTACGTGTTTGCAGACAATGCAATGAATAGTGCCAACAATGAGCTAGAAAAAGAGCATTAACATAGATAACCCAATCACATACACACATTTGTTAATATTTATTAGGCAAAATCATATAAATATTAAAAATCCTCTGCGCTGATCTCACAATACTAATTCAAACGTGAATTGCTATGTAACTAACGTTAGCTACTAAAGCCCCTTTACCCCGCTAAGCTACTTTAGCCAGCAAGCTAAAAAAATGAAACTATCGTTACGAACTAAGCCAACACTTTCAACCTAAATATAAATACACCGACACACGGGTTCAATATGGTTATTTGACGTTCATCTTACACCGTATTTACTTTATATTTAGATTTCATTTGTCCACTCGCAGCGTTAGCTAAGCTAACTGTTAACCGTAAACGAAGCTTAGCAGCCAGGCTAACCCGGTCACAGTGAAACATTCGCCACTCAGCTAACAAGTCAAGCAAAAAAACAACCAAAACCACATTTTATGCTATTTTATATCTATTAAACGCGGACATGCCAATAAATTCTAGTAAAACTCTTCATCTCAGCTGATTCGAGCCCGAAGGTTAACCGGTTAGCATTAGCCGCTAGCTGGAGGCCATCGTTTAGCGTTAGCACGCAGGCTAATCTCACAATGGAAAGGGCAACGATAGGGAAACTCTGTTACTTTTTAACGCCGTTAGTGTTCTCAGACGGCGCATCTTCATCTCCCTCGATGTTCGGAGAAGCACCGGGAGATTCCTCTTGTTTAATTTCGCTCTCGAACTCGGGGTTAGTCTCAGCCATGATCGCGTTTCTCTCTCTACGCTTCAAACGCTGCGGCGCTTCTCCTTCACTGTCCGCCAGTATCGCGAGAAGTGAGCCACCGCTTCGAGATTTGGCGCTGAGCGTTCACATAGGCGGACTGCACGATTTGTACACTGCATTGTTTTATTTTATGAATGTTGTTTGATAGATTCTAGATAAATGTAATTTTCAGGTTTTTAACTTATTCATGTTATTTTTGTAATTTGCTGACTGCGCTTGGTTTTTGTTATGTTAATAGGTGTAAAATGCATTGCTTTTATTGTTTGTACTTTGCAAAATATAAAAAACTGCGTTACGTTTTACAACGCTGCTCGATCTGAACCCGCTGTTTACGACGTGGGCCGTTTATTTTGGTTCACTGGTCATTAAATTTACACATAATGTAAAGGATCATAGATATTTGTACACACACACACACACACATATATATATATATATATATATATATATATATATATATATATATATATATATATATATATGTATGTATATAATTTTTCTTGTACTTTTTCCCTAGTCTTAAAGACTCCTTAAAAAATTAATAATATTTACCTCTGCCTTTCAATGTACATTGATTTTGAGTGTTAAAAACAGCTGATAGTAAACATGCAGCTTCAATAGCATGACTGTCACATGCTTATTCCTGCATTTTCAGCTCTCAGACATGTAAGACTAACAATTTCTGAGACAGTGTTGTAGGTATTGGTACTGGTATTGTGAAAATGCAGTTATGATTTGATAACTTGTTTATTTGAAATATTTAAAGTTTGATGCAACACGTTTAAAAAAAAGTTGGCACAAGGAAACAAAAGACTGCTAAAGCTGATGTTTTCGTACATCAAACTCCTAGTTTTTTTTAAACAGTTTCATGATACCGGCCCTTTAAAAATGCTTTGCAAGACAGTGATTGTAACCTATTTAATCTATTGACTCGGCTCTGTGGAAGTTTATCCTCCTGTTAATGTAACTGACAGAATCAGAAGTCTAATGAACTAATGATCCAGCCGTTACTCAGAGGAGACAGTGAGGTCAGACAGACAATAAGTCACAGCAGAATGACTGTAAAAAAAGAAGGAGTAGTCAGACGGCACTTTGATGATTAAATAATAATAATGTGGTCTCAGCGTGGAGGAGACGGGCCGAACAGCAGGCTGTGAGCAAGCATTCGTTTCTCTCTGTCAATAAGCTCACTATTACAGCACTCCCAGCCGTCCCATAATGCCATGCTGGGAAACGGGCCAAAACAGATGCTTTTCAATTCATCAGGAAAGCCAGGGCAGCGTTTGGAGGGAGTGACCACAGCTCACATCAGCTGATTCCACTCACAAACTCTCTCTGAGTCATGTTTAGTGTCATCGTTAAGCCGGGCCTACACTACACCATGTCTAAAATCCTGACAGATTCTGAAAACGGAGAGCATCAGACACTTAACATCCATCTTAAACAGAATTCCCTGTTATTTTGTCGTAAGGGCACACTAGTCCAGGGGTCGGCAACATGCGGCTCTTTTACTGCCCTGCTGCATTTCCAGAGCAGAATTTGATTTTTAGGTAAAAATAAAATAATCCTCCTTTGCAGTAAAATAAACTCTGCTGGTCGTTCAACACAGTTTTAACAGTAAATGGTCTTAAACACTGGATTTAAAATGGAACTGGTAATTCACCCTTTAACCATGAAGATCAGCACAGACTGCTGGTCACCATAGCAATGCCTACAACAGTCTCACCCAGCTAGTAGCTGCTATAGCTGAGCTAAAGCTTAAAGCAGAGCAACGTAAGTCTGCGTTTTCGTTTACATTCTTTAGCCCATACTAGCACATTAACACATACTGAGATATATTTACAAGCCAAGATGGTGAAACATTACTTCAATAAAATGAGCATAAAATGTTGTGGCTTCCAAGGTGCCTTGATTTTTGCTGAAAGGACAAAATGGCTCTTCTTAACATTTGGGTTGCGACCACTGTGCTAGACAATAAGGCAAAAAGAGGGTAAAACACACACGTAACATTTTTTGGCTAAGAAAACCACCCAAAAACCCAGATCTCCACTGTTATCACGAGATACAAATAAAGCTAAACTGGACCGGAGCTTTTTGTGCTCACAGTCAGAGCTGGAGAAATATTTTACTATAGACTGTGTGCTGAGTTGATACTGGTCATTATTTACTCTGAACTCAACAAGCAGCTCCTCTGTCTTTGCCGCCTGCTGTTCACACAGCAGAGCCTGTCTTTACCGTTTTTCTCTCTCTGAGCTCTCTGATTGGCTGTTGCCTGAATCATGTGTTCAGTTACATCGCTGCCCGTCAGGATCCGTCAACATTCTGAGTCATAAAAATCAAACATGTTTGTCAATATCGGAGGGCCTCTGATCACTCCAGAGCTTGATCGGAGTGATGAATATTCACTCATTTCTGCTTTCACACCAGATCATCCACGCCGTCAGTCACTTACGAACAACCTGGAAAATCACTTCAGATTGTGAAAATTTGTTCAATCAAATCAGGGTTAAAATCAGACTCAGAATCGTGTAGTGTAGGCCCAGCTTTATTTCTGGCACTGACAGACGCAACAATTCAGTCTCATGCACAGACCCTTGACTCTTTTGCATGTCAAATGTTCGTTCCATTTTTTGTCATATTAGGTCAGGTGTTGGCAAGCCAAATGTTAATAAGAGCCATTTTGTCCATTAAAAATAAATCAAACCACCTTGGGAGCCACAACATTTTATGTCCATTTTACCACTGTGGCTGTAAATATGGCTCTATATGTACTAGTGTAGACTAAAAATACAATACAAACAAAAACGCAGATTTACTTTGCTCTGCTTTAAGCTTTAGCTCAGCTATAGCCACTTTTCTTGCATCTCTGGCAGGAAACTGTTCCTCAAAACTGGAATAGTTTCTTGTAAAATGTCTCTCAATGTTTGATTTTTTATGAGGCTGCAGTCAGCTTCTCATTCCCAAGCCTCTTGTTAGAATTTTTCCGTTTCACTTTAAATAGCGCCTGAGGCACCAGAATGTGCTGCTGCACCATTTAAGGTGGAGCGGGCAAATTTGAATGAGAAACTGACTTCAGTTTCGTGACTTTTTAGTGTTTGACAGTTTCTCATTGCAGATTAAACGTATCAAGAAACCAGCTGGAGTGATTATATATGCAAATAAGTCCATTCGTCTCCAAATTATCGATGTTTGTCTTAAATCTCTTTCTTTGCGTTTTCGTTAGATATAAGGCAAGATTGTTGTCTGTGTTGGTATGGTTGCTATAGAATCATCAGCAGAGCTTTATTTTACTGCAAAGGAGGATTATTTTATGTTAACCTGAAATCTAATTCTGCTGTGGAGACACAACAGCACAGTAAAAGAGTGGCATGCTTGTGATTTCTAGCATTTACACTTTATAACTTTGCTACATTGGATAACCATTATAGTAACTGCATTAGTTTAACTCTGTTTAACTGGAGCATATTGCATACACTCTGTAACTGGACTGTAGTTTGCCATCATTAGAGCAGGTTGACCAGTTCAGCAGAAATGACTGGGGAACAGAACTGACTAGATCTCAGTCTGTGCTCCTCCAAAGATATAAGTACTGTCACTCTTTAACACATCAATGTCAGAATTTTATTTAATAGGTAAGTTAAGCAAAAATCAAATTGTATTTATATTAAATTATATTTCCTTTATTCAATTTTTTTTAAATGTATTGGTTCGATATTGAATTCATATATGCATTTTTGATGTGGAAATAGATATAACTTACAGCTTTTTTCATTTTTTAGGAATATTTGAGATGGAATTTCAGTTACAGTGTATACAGGTATTAAAAATAGCTGTAACTGTAAAAAGGAAGAAAGAAAATCAAATGTTGTGGACCAAACCCATGACTGCTGTCCACCAACGCATCCAACCTCTAAAATCTCCCCCAGTCCACTGAAATCTCACTCTAACAAAATGTAAAAGTTGGCAGCCATAAAATCTATAGACTAAACAACTGTTTCAGGTTTTTTTCTCTTTCCTACACACTGCATTTACCATGACCCTTTCTGGACTAAGCGGTTAAAGATGATGAGGATGATGATGGTGATGATAAACACTGCATTTACTGCACGTAGCACTTCAGCTTTCACTCAGACTGAAAGTTTTCTACAACCTTGTTTCCAAAAAAGTTGGGACACTGTGCAAAATGTAAATAAAAACAAAATGCAATGATGTGCAAATCATTTTAACCCAATATTTAATTGAAAATAGTACAAAGACAGCATATAAAATTTATTGTTTTTTGAAAAATGTATGCTCATTTTGAATTTAATGCCAGCAGTACATTTCAAGAAAGTTGTGACTGGTAACGATGTGTAATCTTACAAAAAAATCCTCTCAAAATGAATTAGGTTAATTGGCAAATAATTCTTTATTCAGGATTGGGAAACATTTAACAGGTCAGTGTACATACTGTGAGCAGCCAGAGATGGTGGAGCATGTATTAATACATTGCAAGATATATGAAAACAAAAGGAAAGAGATGTTCACTGATTATGGGGAAAAAGATGCATTAAGGATCAAGACGTTGTTGCAAGATATAACGGGGAATATGCAAGGAAAGTTGATAAGATTTCAGAGTTGCAGGGTTGTTTAATAAAATTTAGTTTTTTTATTGTTTTTTTATGGAAAATTTCCCACTATGTTTCCTTTAGACGGTAAATGTTAAATCCTAAAATATCAGTGGTCCATGCTCCAGTCCAGTAAGTGGCAGTAATGCACCATGTAACGGGTTTGCCATCTGCCAAAAAAAAAACTAGAAGAAGAAGAAGGATAATTGGCAACAGGTCAGTAACATGATTGGGTATAATAGTGCATCCCAGAGAGTCTTTTGGAAGTAAAGATGAGGAGGGCTTCACCACTCTGTGAAAGACTGACGGGCAAATAGTGCAACAATTCAAGAATAATGTTTCTCAACATAAAAGAGCAAAAACTTCATCATCTACAGTACGTAATATAATTAAAAGATTCAGAGAATCTGTAGAAATCTCTGTAGGTCAGGTACAAGGCCAAAAGCCAATACTGGCTGGCCATGATCTTTGGGCCCTCAGGTGGCACTGCATTAAAAACAGACATGGTTCTGTAGTGGAAATCACAGCATGGGCTCTGGAACACCCCCAAAAATCACTGTCTGTGAACTCCTGTGAGTCTCCTTTAGTCTGGGATTTATACAGCAAAATGCCTGCAGATAAACTGAAATTTGTTACTGAGGACTTGAGATTTTACTTACATGAATCAATTTGTGATCTCTTGGCTATTAGGCCAATGTGGCTAATTTATAGCATCTTAGCATGATTCTAAGTGCATGCCTATATCGTCACAATTACCTCACAGCACACTGCTAAAGATATTAGCCACTACGAATTTTGCCAACACTTTTGCCCCCAAAATTTGATCCAGTGTATCCTTACATGCGCTGTAACTGTATGTCCAAAAGTCTGTAGACTCCAGACTTTCTTCTGAAATGAAGGTGTTAATAGTGAGTCTGTGCTGCGGTAACAGCCGCTACTCTTCTGTGAAGGCTTATTCTAGATGTTGAACATTGCTGTGAGGATTTGATTGAGCATTAATGAGGTCAAGTACTGATATTGGATGGTCAGTTCTGGATCACTCCAACTCTTCCCAAAGGTATTGGATGGAGCTCCATCACTCCAGAGAACACAGTTCCACTTCCAGTCTAATGCTGGGGGGCTTTATACCTCTCTAGCCCATGCTTAGCATTAGCATTGTGACCTTAGGCTCATGTGCAGCTGCTCCAGAGCACCATTCTATTGGTCAGTGCTTTTCTATGACGATCATAGCTATAATTGTGCAACTGAACACCTGTATTACCTATGAGTGACCTGAAGCTGAATTCACTCATCAGAAGGCGAATCTGGATACTTTTTAATATACATATTAAATATATATATATATATATATATATATATATATATATATATATATATATATATATAATTGAATAGCTCTGTTGGGCTGAAGGAGCCGACTGTAGATAAGTCAGAATTCTGTGAATTCGGTGATTTGTCTCTTTAAGAGCCGCATCATGACTTTAGTTCAGACGCACAGTAGCTTCTAATGAGACTCTAATACAGGAGCTAATTTAATTTCACACACACACACACACACACACACAACACCAGAGTCAATCACATACACTCACACACACCACCAGTCAATCACACACTCACACATACTCACACACCAATGCACACACATACAACCATATACATACACACAACCACCAGTCAATCACACACACTCACGCCACCACCACCAGAGTCAGTCACACACACACACACACACACACACACACACACCCATACCACCAATCACACACACATACACACATATACATACACACAACCACCAGAGCTCAATCACACACACACACACACACACACACACACACACATACACACCACCACACACACACACAACTATCAGTCAATTACACAAATGCACTTGTATACACACACACATACATGTACACACATACACGCACACACAACCATCAGAATCAATCACACAATCTCATACTCATGCATACACACTCACATACACACACACACTCACACACACACACACACACACGAAGGGAAAGAAAGAATGGAAGGGTGACTTGGAGACAGGAGTGAGAGACAGAGAGAAAGTGTCAGAGAGACAGAGAGAGGAGAAAGAAAGGAAAGAAAGCAAGACAGAGGAAAAGAACGAGAGAAGAGAGAGAATTTTGTCAATGAAGAAAAACAGACAGGTCGACTGAGACTAACAAGTGGTTGCCATGCAGAGAGAGAGAGAGAGAGAGAGGAGGAGTGGCAATCAGAAGGTGCGAGAGAGAGACAGAGCGAAGCAGCAAAAGAGGGAGAAAAGGAGAGAGAGAATGCTAACACCGACAGCAGGGGGAGAGAGAGAGAGAGAGAGAGAGGAATTGATCGCCCGAGTCTGAGCTTTCTATCCTGAAGGGGTGTGTGTGTGTGTGTATGCAGTATTTTTGGTCCGTCGTGTTTCAATCGCGCATGTGTGTGTGTGATGGCTGGAGCTTCCCGAGAGGAGGAAGGATGGATTTTTTGGCAGATGAATGAAGCCCACAGCAACAGGTTGAGCTAACAGCAGGTGAGTGACCGTTCAGCTGACCACTAACACACACAAACACACACCCTGTACAGACGTGTGATAAACACACACGGCGGGTTACTGTTCAACCCAATTATGTGTCCAGTTAAGGACGAGACGTTTTGTACTGCTTTTAACCCATTAAGTTCCGTATAGTCACACGCTGAGCTGATTAAAGAGCAAATACACTGAAAAAAACCACGCACAGCTATTTATACTGGAATGTTATTAAAGGGACAATCCATCATTTTACCAACCTACCCATATGGAAAAAATATGGACATGTATTTCTATATATTCCAAACAATAAAATGTATTTAAGAATATTTGGCTATATTAGTTGAATACATTTTAAAATGCACTTATTTTAAAATGTATGGGGAAATATTATTCATAGAAATGTACCATAAAAAATGTAATATATAAATATGTTTATCAAATCCATTTGAAATTGTATGAAAAGCCAAAATCCAGTCTAATGCACTTTACTGTTTGATACCTTGAAATGAATTTGTATTCCAGTGTCTTAATTTTAAATATGATCAAATGAACCTTTAACATGACAAAACCAAGTGTTGTAAGTACTGATACTCTGTGAAAATATTATGTTATTATTTAATATCTTGTTTATTTGAAATACATTGTGTGAGTGTCTTACTGCATACGTACATGGTTAATGTAAAGTACAATGCAGATCACAGAAGTCAGTATTGTTTAGTTACATCTGTAACCTTTATTACAACTACACAAAACTGAACACATATAATAACAAATATAAATAAATACAATTTAAAATATATTTACAAATACATTTTTTGGACATTTTCATACACTGCAAAAAATACATGTGATAAATACATTTGGAATGTGTATTGTTTCCATATAGGTGCACTCCGTTTTTCTTATTTGTTGAACAGTAATTTCCCTGTACTCAGAAAACAAAAATTAAATGTACTCAACGTCCATGCGCAGATGCTCATTGAAATGACTTGAGTTGTTATTAAAGCGGCACTCCATCATTTTTCAACCTAATCTGTATTCGTCCTGCCATAGCAGACAGTCGATTAGCATGGACAATCATTTTTCTCTGCTTAGAAAAGAAGGTGAGCCCATAATACTAACCTCATAATAGAAGCCAATTGACTTCTTTTATGTAAAATTAAAGGGGAATTCCACCAATTTTATTAAATGTCTGCCACAATTGATTGTGTGAAACGTAATCAGAATGATTCAGAGTGGTTTGGTGTGAAATGGTTCAGATTTCTTTACAGTGGTGGTGATAGGAACCAGGGGTCGCCATGACTACAACACAAATATAGACATTTTATTTATTGTCCAAAACCACCAGTGAACCTAAACGTGTCTTCTGAGTTTTATATGGAATGTTGATGATGGAAAATAGTGGAAAATTTGAAATAATAAGTTTTCTTGAAACCGTGAGTAGATTTTAACCCTCTGGGGTCCTGAAACTGACCAATGGACACTCAGGAAATCACTAAGCACTGACCCATCACACCGGAAACCCTTAATTCTTCATTCAGTCCACATCGGAGACACAAGTGAAATGGTGTGCAGAGAGTTTACAGCTGCTGAAGTTGCTGCAGTGGTTTTGTAAAATGGTGATAAAGATAACGGAGCATTTTGATATGAAACATATGAGGATCATGTTATATGAAGAGCCTTTAAAGGAGAGTTTAAGGAGAGTCTCGAAAAGAGAGAGGGAGCTTTTATAGGTGGATGTCTGGTTCCTATCACCACCACTGTGAACAATTCTGACTTGGCAAGGTTCTGTAATTTTGGAAGATTGGTGGAATTCCCCTTTAATGCAATCTTATTGGACACAGGCCATGTTTTCAGACTATGTTCTGTTCTAGTGGCCTGACAATTTAAAATAGCAATAGCACAAAAAAGAGTATTGCTAATTAGCACTAATTTTTGCATGCCTGATACTGAATCCCTCAGCGTCCATTTCTCTCTCTCTCTCTCTCTTGTTCTCTCTCTCTCTCTCTCTCTCTCTCTCTAGCCACCTGCTGCTTATACGCACTCTATTGTCTCTCTCTCTCTCTCTCTCTCTCTCTCTCTCTCTCTCTCTCTCTCTCTATCTCTCTCTGGCTGTCTGGCTGTCTCAGTGTTGTGATGGGAACACAGATTCGTTGCGTTCCTCGTGTTGGCGTGTGGTTTTCTCGCCGGCCGCTTGCTCACGCGTGATAAAAGCATGTTATCAGTGTGACTGCAGCTGCTGTGCAACAGGTACCGCCTTTTCTCCCTTTTCTCCTGTGTTGGCTGATGTGGCTGCTCCAATTAACCGCATGGCACGACTGTTTTAGCCGTTTCATTGAGACCGCAATGCCGATCGCAACTGTAATTTCACCTTTTGGATAAGAACGATTGTCTATTTCACGATGGCTTCCATGTTTGCAGTGCTGGTGTTGGTATTCTGCCTTGTCAATGAATTGAATTGATCCCAATTGCGTTGAGTTTAGCATGACTGGATTGGATGTGAGTACTACATTTAGCATGTTTGCTTTGATTGCAGCATGACTAGATTGAATTTAAGCATTGAACATAGCATGTTTCTATTGAATTTATATCTAAAATGTAGCATGTTTGTATTGTATGTAAATGCTGAAGTTGGCATGTATTTTATTTGTGCATTGAATATACCATGTTTCCATTTGAATTTAAGGATTGAATATAACACGTCTGCATTGAAGTTATGCAATGAATGTAGGATTGTTGCTTTGACTTTACTTATTAAATTTAGCATATTTGAATTGGGTTTAGAATGACTGGATTGCATTTGTACATTACATATACATTGTATATTTGCATTTAATTTGTGTTTTGAATTCAGCATGTTTGCATTGAATTTAAATATTGAATTTAGCATGCTTGCCTTTTATTTGTGCATTGAATATAGTTTTTCCACTATACTTAAGCATTGCATTTAACATTTTTCCATTAAAGTATTGGATGTAGCATGTTTGCATTGAATTTAACATATTTGCACTGATTTTTTTACATAGTTTGTTTGCATTGTGTTTAGAACCACTGTATTGAATTTTTGCATTGAACATAGCATTTTTCTTTTGAATTTAACTATTAAATTTGGCATGTTTGCATTGTAAATATACACTAAAGGTAGCATAGTTTGCATTGAACTTGCATTGAATATAGCATGTTTGCTTTGACTTTATTCTTTAAATTCAGCTTGTTTGCATTGAGTTTAGTGTCACTGCATTGAATTTAAGCATTGAACATAGCATTTTTCCATTGAATCTAAGTATTGAATTTATCATGTTTGCATTGTATTTATGCATTGAAATTAGCATGCTATGATTGAATTTATGCTTTGGATTTAGTACGCTCTAGTTACTGTATGTATTCTTGTTATCTGTCTCAAACAAGTTCAAGAAACCCGGAAAGACATTAATTAATAAGATGAGATATTAATGTTCTTATCTCTTAGTGATTAGATAACGGACATTTTTATTAGTTATAGCTAATAATATCCCGGAAATCGTGATTACAGTGATAATGTACTGGTACTTTTAAGTTTTTCACAGAAGCTTTTTTCCTTTCAGAATCTAACACATTAAAATGGATATTTTTCATGCGTTTGTTTGTCCGTTCCAGTTTATTTAGAAGATGTTGTTAAACACGCTTTACAGAAGTGTTTGGTAATGCATGTGATCTGTGTTCTGATTCATAAGCAGACTCAGATGATATAATGCAGCATGTTGATTTGGGAGGCTGTGAGGTGGATATCCAGTGCTGTGTGTCTCCGCAGGTTTCAGGAGGGCTGCGGCGACTCTGAAGCTTCTGGACGCTCGCAGGATGAAGCAGGACCATGTGTAGTGTCCATTACAACCACTCCCTGGCCAGTATGAGTGGCGGAGAGATCGTGGCGTACTCTCTGACGCTGGAGCAGAAGACGGCGTTCGCCTTCGTCGGAATGCTGCTGGTGTTCCTCGGCCTGCTGATCGTGCGCTGCTTCCGGATTCTTCTGGACCCCTACAGCAGCATGCCCTCCTCACACTGGGGCGACGGGCTGGAGGTGCTGGAGAAAGGGACGTTTGAGTACGCGCTCACCTGACACACCCGCACATGAGGCCACGCCTCATCTCTGAGGCCACGCCCCCTGATCTGAGACTGCTGTTGCATTCTGGCAACATTAGAGGCTTGTGTTTCCCATTTGGATCAACAGTGCACACCATATGACTTTAATGAACTTGAGTGTCATCGTGGGAAAATAGGTAATACCCATATCTGAGGCCACACCCTTACCTGAGATTGCAGCCTTACCTTTGGCCACGCCCACCTGTTCACAGTCTAATCGGATTACAATTTAATCTGATCCTATACCATTACCAGAGGCCACGCCCTTATCCATGAACGGAGCATTACTTGAAGCCACACCCTCATCAGAGGCCACACTCTTACCTGAGACCACAGCTTGACATTACCTGAGGCCATGCCCTTGTTTTAGACAATAGTGTCACTTGAAGCCATGCCCCTACCCAAGGCCACACCCCTATCTAAGACCACAGCATCACCTGGATACATGGCCTTACCTGAGGCCACAACTTTAACAGATATTGCACTGTCACTTGATGCCACACCCTTTTTTGAGACTGCAGCACAAATTGAATAAATAGCTTTACCTGAGACCACACCTTTATCAGATATGACAGTGTCACTTGATGCCACATTCTCGCCATAGGCCACACCCTTTTCTGAGACAGCAGCATCATTTGAAGACACAGCCTTGCCCAAGGCCACCCCCCTGTCTGACACTACAGCATTACCTAAATTCACAGCCTTACCTGAGGCCACACCATCATCATCTACCGCACTTGACTATCACATGATACACCTTTACCTGAGGCCACACCCTTATCAGAGACTGCAGCACCACTTAAAGCCACACCCTTACCTGAGGCCACACTCTCACATGAGGCCATGCCCTTATCTGAGGCCACACCCTCACCTGAGGCAACACCCTTATCAGAGACTGCAGTGCCACTTGAAGCCACACTCGTACTGGAGGCCACGCCCTTGCCTGAGACTGCTGTTGCGTTTCTCATTTGGAATAACAATCAACACCATATGACTTTAATCAAAGATTTATCATAAACAGCGCTGTTAGCTTCAACTTTACACCCAACCACACAAAAACTGCAAAGAAAATAAACCTGTACATAACTGCCTTTAATCTCGGGTGAAGAGTCAGACAGTCAGTGTTTAAAGAAAAGGATGAAGGTGAGAAACATCACAGTTCATGAACTCCTGTAGTATCCGGAGTCAGACAGCTCTGATTTGGTCTGACTGTGAAAACCGGTACACCGCCTGAATGCTGCTTAAATCTGATTGTGATCTCAGTTACACCCTTTACCCCCATCCACGCTGGGGATGACAATCTGCCACCACCCAGCACCACACAGACAGGCCTGCTGGGGATTGATGGTGGAATGATGTGAGTTGTTTGGTGAGCTGATGTCTTAATGCAGACAGAGACTCTGAGTGCACTTGTTCTGTTCACCAGCCTTGGTACACGGTGATCTGGAGGGAGGGGTGTGGACTGCAGTTGTTACAAAAACAGGGTATTCTATGATGTGAGCTGACTCACAGGCATAATCTTAGGACCCCCACTTTATCAGATGGCTGAATTTGCCCACCTCACTTTAAGGTTCATTTTAATGGAAAAGGCAAGAGAAAAGAACGACCTGTGAGTCTGTCTCTAATTTTACCTACTGTGTAGCATATAGCAATGCACAGCAGCCGTTTCTATGGTTACGACCATGCATGACTGTCATTTGCATTATTATCCAACTGTCTCACACTCAGTGGACCCTCAGTGTTTACGAGTGATGTGCTGTTCTAGCTCCGCCCACTCACTCAAACCTGCTTGTTGTGATTGTTTGTCTTTGGTTTTGTTCTGGGCAGTTGTGTTGTAGTATGCCTAGCTAATTTTTTTGATTTTTGACATTTACCTGACGTGCCTTTGTTTATTGATGACTGGCTGATGGATTGATGACTGACATAATGCAGTTTTCGTTAATTCGCTAATTAGAAGGTAGACCTTTTAGTGGTTTTGTTGAAAATGTTGAAATACTAGCATGGCATCAGCAAAGAAAAGACATGGGAAGGTGAATGCTCTTTTATTGAACAGGCAGAAAGGGAGAAGCGCCTCTCAGTGCTGACTGAATGTCCGGGAAGCAGGCAGGTTACCTCTAACCACACACTTCTTCCTGATAGGAGGCACTAACACTGCATCAACTACCCACAGCCCAGCAAAGAATAGCACAAACAACACACGTGCACATCTTTAATTGAACAATAGCAACTTATTCACAACAAAAGCGAAACACGAATGCCCCCCTTAAAGGTGAACCGTCCAGGTGACCACACAGAGTCCCTGGGGTGTACAGGGGCATGCCACCTCCCACCCCTGCTGGGGAGGACTGCGGTCAACCCCAATTGGCCACCATGCTGCTCCCTGTGATCAGGTCGTGCTCTGCTGCTGAGCCTCGCCAAGCTTCTTCTTCCACAGTCCTCACCCAGGCTTGGTTTTCCCCTCTATCCGGCTTAGGGTTCCCCTCCAGTCTGCTGGGGTTGCTATTCCACTTCTGACACCAGTGTGGCGTTAGTGAAAGAGCATATGTGGGAAGCGCTTTAAAGGTGAATGCTCTTTTGGACAGGGCACTTCTAACCACAGACTTTGTTCAGACAGTCTAACACTGCACTAACTACCCCGTAGCTCAACAGAATTCTCTCCTACTGTGAACACAGCTCTGCACAAGAGCCTCCCACGGTAACTTGATCCAGTAGCTGGACGCTACAGTATTGCCAAGCTGCCTAATTTTGGGAAAAAAGTGATAGCGCTACTGAATGAAGAGCTGTTTGGGAGCTCTAACTGGTAAACTGAGCCAATTTATCTGACTCACAGAAAAGAGACAGAATGCCCATTAATAATGTACATGTTAAGGAGAACAGACCAATGCCATGTAACATCATTTTTTTAAAAGAACATGAGGATCTCTAATATTATACCTTTTTAGAGGAAATGATGAAGGTAAAGTTAGTGGGCTCACAGATTGTAATGGTCAGTTGGCATTTTCAAATAAGTTAGGTTTTTTTTTTTACTTTTATTGCTGATAGTCAAAAATTATAAGTGCTGTGGCATCGCAGGCAGTTTAAACTGATCAATCAGCCAGCTAGAATATTCAATAAACAAATATACAAATATGCAGTAAGCATTCTGTTACATTTAATTCCATCTGGTTGCCCAGCATAGCCACAGAACTGACTTCCTCAACAAAAATTTTGCTGAGCTGACAAAGTTCTGAAAGGCAGCCAGACCAGCGTCTCTACCTGATAATACCTCACATGATCTGCCTGTGAAAATAATAGAATATTTTTGGCCCTAATCTTGAAACCCAGAGCCTACGATCATTTTGTGACTCTGTGCTATGTGACTGGACTGAGACTGAGGGAAAATATCCTGTTACTGAACGGAAAAGACCTTAGTCTCTCCACCTGTGTGATGCTCCAGAGCTGCTCCCTTTCTACTAAATATAGCCCATGTGTGGAGCCATTCAGTTCCAGGCTTTCCGAAGTTGACTGTGATTCCGATACTGAGCGATGGGAGTTGATGGAGTCGATTCCACACAATACTTTTCTCTATTCTTAGCTCCGTAAGTCTTTCATGCCTATACATTTATGCTGTAATTTAACAGTAATTAAACAAAAGGTTGTAATGTCCTGGTTGCAGCCCACAAAGCTGGATATTTTGCCAATGCTAGTGTTAAAGCAATGTTGAATTTTTAGGTCTTGAAAGCAAAAAAGGTCACCAAAGGGTGATTGATCAGCACCATTTAAACATTCAAAACAAAAATTAAAGTGCAGACTTAACTAAGCATTTATGTGATAGTTTTGGCTAATGGATCATATTGGATTTTTTCCCTAAGATATCCAATCCAGTGATTTTGGACAATATCAGATTGATACCGATACTGAGTATCATATCGGAACATCTCTAATATTTTGTAAATGATTCTAGGGGCATACTATTTGAGAGAAGTCCTCATTGACATTATATCCTACGGCAGGACAAGGATTCTTTGGGCGCCGCTTGATCTGCCGTGGAACGTGTTTTCTCTTGCCGACCGAGTTGAAAAGTGTCATCTTCAGCATCTTGTGTCACTTTTTTCGGAGGCAACCAATCAGAACTGAGCCGGAAACTGCACGCAGGGCTGAACAGTGGGACAGATTTGCTTGCATTTGCAGTGTAAACATATTGAGCTCGAAGATAAATGTTAAATTACTGTCATATGTACCATCCTGTACATAGGCATCATCAAGTTTTTTTAAAAACCTTGAAAATAGACGATGAGTCCCCTTCACTGTTGAAATCTGATGTGTCTTTTTGCTAAACTTGCTAAAGTTTACTAATGTTTACATGGGCCGAATAGAAAGAACTAAACCGGGTGGGAGCACAGTGAGTGCTAGTTTCTTTAGTCCTGATTCCTCACTGCCTTAATCAGGAAATCAAGATGGCTCCAGTGTAGTATAGAACTCCATCTGTTTGAAACTCGGTGCGAGAGCGTTAATATTTTGTTTTCAACACACTTCGGGGAACATCAGATTTGGCGTGAACAGGCCTTGATGTGCTTCCAAGTGAGGTGAAGGCAAAAGACCACTAAGAACAGAGGAGTATTCTTACATTAAGCCAATACTGGTGGATGGAACAAGTGCACCTTCACACTGAATCAGAGCAGCGGCTGTTCTGCTGTGTAGCTCACAGTACAGGGTAAACAGGGTAACGCAGCTAATGTACAAAACCAAAACCATCTCTGGGTGAATGTCCACTGTGGTCCATTGTGGTGTTATCATCAGCAGATTCACTATGGAATGAGTTCATGATATTAGCTAGATACACTAGGGCTCAGTGTCGCAGCAGCCATATTTATTAACACACACAAAATAACCAAACTCCAAACAACCCAAACTATGCTGGCCACTTTAAAGTGGCTTCAGTCAGCTAGACTTTTCAGCTCTTCAGTCACTTTTGCTGCTCGGCCTCCTCTCTCTCGCTCTGTTCCCTCTCAGCTCTTTTAAAAGGCGCTCACCCTGCCAGCCAGATCAGCATCAGCTGGCTCTCATTAAGGGCAGCGTGAGCACCTGAGCCGAGAGGGAACGAGAGCTCGCTGCTCCGCCTCCCCGTCACCGCCCCCAGCTTGCAGCTCGGCCGGGACTTGCTCCTTGCCTTGGTGCCTCTCGTGGCCGGCACCATCGTTCTCGTCCTCCTCCTCACGACGTCACTCGCGTGACCCGCGTCCGTCGGCGGAGCTCGGGCTTTGCGCTCCGCCCCCTCCCCACTCGCGGCTCTCTCCCTGCTGTCCTCGCCAAGGTTCGTCGCCGCTGTGTGTTCGGGCCCCGCCTTCCTGTCGGCTCTCGCGGCTGTCATCGTCGGGGCCCGGGGGGCGGGCGCATGCCACAACTAGCCATAATATTAGCTGGCTATTGTTTCTAACCAATAGCATCATGGAAACAACAGCTAGCTAGACAGTTAAGCTAGCGAGCTAGCTAGAATCATTAGCTAAAACAACAATACTCATGGCTAAGTAGCAGTAGCTAAGTTTTCTAATGTTACCGATTGAAAATATGCGTTTTAAGCTGTGCTCCTCATTTATGATGTGAAATCTCACCCAAAGCTTTTTTTTCCAGAGGTCTTTAAAGTCTAGAAAACATTCTGAGATTATGATGTTACACTCACACTGCTGGTGTCTGGTGTTTAAGTC